AGACAGGGAAGGAGAGGAGAATGTTTTCGTGGAGAATTATTTTTGGGGAATGGAAGCTTTCACTAACACAGGGAATGGTGTAGCCCTTTAGAGAAGCAAGTCCAGAACAGGTCAACTCTGGCTTCTTATAACAGTTTTATTAGGGATAATACCAATAATACAATTAACAAAAACAATGCCCCAGAATTGCAGGCAATGGAAAAGTTTTCCTGTCTCTTAGGAAGATTTTAAAATACTTTTAGCAGTGTTTTAATGTATTTAATTATATATGTGATCATATATTTAATTATGTTTGACATTTAACTGACATTTATTTTTCATTTTTTCTTGCACATCTTTAAAATATATCTGTCTTTGCATATTTGCACTTGGCAATGTAAACACTTGGTCAGTTAGCTCTGCCCCCCTTCTCAGATCCAAATATCAGGTAATAACTCCTTTCAAGTACAACTGCTTTGAGTTAGATTTGAACCTGCAGCCCTCCTCAATGTTATTGCTGGTTTCCAGAGGCAATCACTGTCTCTGATTCTAGCATATTCTAAATTCTTCAGATATTTTACTTTATAAAATATTAACTTACTAAATAATCCCAAAAGCTGTTTCTTGCTAATCAGGGATGTTTCACTTTTCATTCAGTAGGGCTGAATGAAGTTAATTCCAAGGGATTAACATATAAACTTTCTTGTCTCTTCAGAGAGCAACATTTTTCTCTGATCTCCTGCCCCACCTCTCAGTAGGTTATTATTCCTGAACACGTATTATTTACCTTTCTCTCAAGGTTGATCTGTGATAAAAATTCCAAAATAAAGCACAACTCTTGCTTCAAAGAAAATCTGAAGGCAACAGTTACTGGAGTATTCAAAGATGCTTAAGTATTTATTCAGTTAAAAATCACCATCTTCCGAGAGGAAAAGTCCCACAGGAGTCAGAATAGTGGTAGACTTACACATTTTTCTTTGTCTGGCTTGTAAAAGGTGAGGAAAGAAGTGTGATTGTAATAACACACAGTACCAACACATCACTAGAGGCAAGGTTCTGCTTCTACTTCATGATGGAAACAGCCCAAGTCTGGACTGTATCCTTATCCTGATTTTGGGTTGGCTTAAACTGTTCTTTTACTGAATGCTGTGAGCTTTTATTGCAAGCTGAGCAAGAACTCTAAAATGAACCTGACTGAAAACTCATTGCTGCTTCCTCATTAACATGCCAGAAGGACTGTGACATTTCTATGCAATGTCTGTGCTCTTGGGACTGATGATTCAGTGTAGAGCTGTGTGGAATTTCTACAAAACTTCAAGCCTCCTCACTTTTCAAATGGCTTCATTTTACCAGTTTGTCAAGCAAAACTAAAAATAATTGTTTTGTGTGCAATTACAAGGGAAAAGATGGAAATTTCACTGCACTATTTATTAGGCAACTCATTAGAAAGCAGAAGCTGCATTTTCAAGAGCAGTATGAAATATATCTCCTATGTTCAATTCTTTGGTTTCTTCCTGCAGTTAGAAAAAGAAATCATGCCAAAATTTTAAGGTGCATAGTGAATAACACTCAAGCTAAAAGAGCATGCAATTAAGATTTCTGTAGGTCAATTTGATGATATTTGTTCCTTGCTTGTCATAGTTTCATGAAACAGATAAGGAAAAAGCTACCAGGGATAGCAACTGGCAAAACAGACATGTTAAAGAACTGGATGTCTCAAAACAAGTATAAAACTACAGACTAATTTTGGTTTTCACAATATTGCAGTTTAGAGACTTGCCTCACTACAAATTAAATGCAAAAGACTCATTTAAAGAAAATGAATGTGTCATCATAGGTCTTAAAATCCAGCAATGTCCCCACAGGTCTGCAGCCAAGAAGACACCAATCTGTGTCCTGTCTGCAAGTGGTTCTGCCAAGAGTCATCCTCTGGTTCACAGTAAAACACAACAGGGACAAAGACAAAAGAAATCATGAGATCCCCTGGCAAGGAGCAGTCAAGGACCTTACAAACATTCTTCCCACATGAGCTGTTTCTTTGTGAACACACAAACATATCCTCTGCATTCAACACAGGCAAGTAGGAACAAACTGACGGAATTTGCTGTGTGACAGAGGCCAGTTGTGCCCTCACAGACACGAAGGAAGACACGGTACGGGCTTGGAAACTTCAGTCACAACAAGCACCCACTCCATGAAAGAAAATGACTTCTGGGAATGCTGGGCTATGTGCATTGTATGCATATTGTATGGCATAAAATTATGTACTTTAAGCTCCCTCACAGGCCATTTCAGAAGGAAAGGAACAGAGCAATTTTATTCAGAACTTTTACCACATTTAATTATCAATCCAAATTTTTAATTTTCCAAGAGAGCAATTATGTTGAGAAAGACCTACAAAGTTAACAGGAGTGTTGTTTTAAAGGAACTGAGTAGAATACTTTATAACCTGATATACTTCAGAATCATTAGTGAAGCATGTATTAAATCCACATACAATGCAAGTTAAGATGCATTGGAAAAGCTGCTGAACACAGAAATGAAAGCCAAAGGAATCTACAGTATCCAACAGCTAAATTCCCTCTGATTTCAGGGGCACAGATGACAAAGAGAAAATCATGGCAATAAATTAATTAAAAAAAGAAAGGAAAAGAGAAAAGCATCTTGAAGGACAGCCTTCCAAGAAATCATGTCTTTAATCACCTGGAAAGAACTCTAGAAAACAAGATGTACTGAGCAGTAAGAAATCACTGGATCAGTATTAAATATATATTATGGCAGCAAGAAAAGACTGCTGTATGTAATTTCCATCTGCATAGCCTCACATGCAGGGAGGGTATTCTACTTTTAAGTAGTCTACATTCATTACTGAACACTTCTGCACAAAAAAAGAATTCAAAAGGCAAAATGCACAAGATTCAAATCAGAGTATAATTTATACGACAACATTTGAAGGTTTAGGTGTGTAAAGTTTAGTAAAATATCATCATCTACGTCCACAAATCCACCTAATGTGCAGAGTTAGGATGAATTCTCCATAGGAATGATAATGTCAAATCAGGATTAAATTAATAACAATGTATTCAATTACTTCTTTCTTCTTCTATTTTAAGCAATTCTAAGCAGGCCAGAATTTTCCAGACTTCATAGTTTCAACTGTTTAACATCTTTGTTCGAGTCACTTCTTCAGGGCAGGTGTTTCCTTCCATCCCAGGCGTGCACACCTGTGTGCAGTGACTTCACCCACCTGACAGACCTTGTCCTTGGTCACTGCTGTGTCGTACCTGCTGCTGATTGATTCTCCTCCTGCTTCTGCCTTTTGCTTCCTTGTTCCATGGAAACCTACTGTAAATCCTGGCATGTGACTTAGGTCGCTCTCTGAAAAGGACCCAAATTACTTTGGTGGGACTGTTCCTCCTCTTTCACTGCTGTAACAGGTAATTAATGCATTATGTAAAAATCAATTAAGGTCCTGGCTGCTTTTTCTGCAGGCTGAGTGTGGCAGCATTTGCAGCGTCTTTCACTGCACCGATGGCAGAAGCTCCATAGCAACAGCATGTTTGCATTCCTACAGGAACCACATTGCTCCTGCACTATCAGGAAAACCCTTCTGACATGTGCAGTCACAGTTATTTAGTTTGTGTGCTGAAGAATTTATTCTGATTAATAAAGACTTAACTAAAATATTTGTTTATTTGTCCATAGTTAGCAGAGGGTTTCACTGTTCCAACTTCCATGTAGAGTGACAGTATTGCTTTGGTGCTGAAGAAGTGGAAGTTTTGTCTTCCCTCACCTGTAATTCAGTGATACTCAAACATGTGTAAAAGCTGTTTGGAGGGTTTAAACAGACATTCCCTGAAATAATCCTTCACTTCTCTTGTAGAACCTCTGATCCTTTTCTTTAAGTGTACCCATTGCAAAAGGTCTTCACCCATTCAACACCATCCAAGAAAAGCTTTTCTTAAAGTACACACAAGCAAACCAGAACAGATTAGATTAGAAGTAGCCAAATGGTTGGGCACAATTATATGAAATACAACAATACAAATTTTTAAGTCAAAAACCAGAATACCACACATACACCACTGTACCCCAGATACTACCACTTGTACCCAGTAGACTAAGAGGCTCTAAAATTAAAGTGTTTTACTGGTAATCACAGAATATTCAAGATATTCATTGCTCTGTGCTCTTGTTTTCATTTTGATCCCTGTCCTCTGTAGCCAGATGACACTTATGATTTAGAAACTATTCTTATGGTAAGGAAGAACACAAATCATACCCCCCCCAATTGGTAAAAAAAAAGCACACCAGGTCAGGACAGGCACTTGTACTCTCATTCCATGGGAAATGAGGCTGATGAGAATTGAACAGATCTCCCACTGGATGCAAAGAACGGTTCCAAAGCCTCAGGGTTATCCACATTATTAAGTAACAACAGCTCTAGTGAGGCAACATCATCAATCAGCATGAATATTCCTCACCAGCTAAATCTCTGGGATTGAAAAGGATTATCTCCATCGCTGTGCCAACAGACTAAGCAGTTTGCCAGTCATCTCTAACCTATTACTTAACAACTCACAAATTCAGTGGTCATTTCCACTGCAGCCTGCTGGCCCAGGAGGGGAAGAGGCTCAGCTTCAGGAGCTGCCAATGGTTCTAATAAACAGGAAAACTCCAAGTCCAAATCCAGTGCAGCTCATTAATTGCTCCTGTAATCCTTCACCATGCTCTAACTTTGCACATACAAATGCTTTCCACCCTCTGTCCTCCCCAGAAGTTATCTGCAGTTACAATTCAGGTCTCCTCGATGCTTAACAGTAACAATATTTAACTCTGCAGGAGCAAAAAGGCCACCTAAAAAGTACACTCGTGATATGAATCCAAGTCCTCAGTCAACAGCTGGCAAGTGCACCCAACCTAATTGAGAAGCAACATTTAAGTGAAGAAACAAAACCAGGACACACCAGATTCTCCCAACTTGCCTTATTTTTACACAGCAGAAATAGCAGGACTCTGTATTAATTTTCATATCTTTATTCATTCAACAATGGAGAGGGGGAAAGGCAGAAGACTAAACACATAAGACATGAAGGTAAACTGAAACAATTTAGAAGCACAGTTTGAGAAGATAACAAAACAGCAGTTTTTAAAAGAAAAATATTCACAGGCATCAGTAGTAAGAAACGGGCATGAGGTGGGAGAAAACTACGTAAACTCAATTGCAAAGAACAAAAAACCATACCTGCAACTCATAAACCTGTAGACCTATTCTAATGACACATGGAGATCTCAATTCAAATTATCCAAGACGTTTATCTGTCAAAATAAACTGGAAATAAAAAGTGAATAAATAACCTCCAGAACCTCTCTCCCCCACCCACATCAATGACTAGACCTTATCACAGCAACGTTTTGTTTAGAGGTGCCACCATATACTTGTGTTCAGCTATGCTTGGAGCACCACTTACCAGAAAGACCCACATGAAACAATAGCAAGAAGTAATATTCAAAATTTAGTCCTTAGATGATGCCTTTTTTGTCTTGTCAGCAATCTTCAGCAAGCTGATACAGCCCGAATAGACACAGTGTAATAAGCTTTTCCAAATACTCTTTAACCCCAACAGAAGGGCTGTATTTACAGGTTTATGACCCTTATGCCTCAGAAGGGAACTTGGCCAGAAAAGCTGCTTCCAGCAGAAATGTCAAAATAATCGAGAAGGGAAATAAGGATTAGCTGCCACCTTGTGGAATGAAAGCACATCTGCACTGATAAAACCTTGTGTATCACACGCTGGGTAGAAATGGAAGATAAACAACAGGTCCTTCAAAACAGGAGAAAATAAACGAGGGTAAAAGAGCAAGATATCAAAGAGAGAAATACATGAGTTTCTTTAATGTTCTTCACAAAAGAGAATGTAAAAAGATACCTAGGAAGAGTCTGGGTGTCAAAGCAAGCACAACATGAGATTTAGGTTTTCTACATTTAAGTCATAGCAGCAAGTGACCAAACTTTTAAGGAATCTACAAAAAAAACAGTGATAGAACTTAAATGACTCCCTCTCCCAGGAAAACTCCCCTAACCCAGGCATTTAGCACCACCATGGCTCAGTGCAGGGGTAAGGAGGTGACAGTGCCTGAGGAGGTGGGTTTGCAGCGTGTGTTTAATTCCAGGCTGCCCACTGGCCATCAAATGGATGAGCGGTACCAGAGACAGGAGCCTGGACTGGCTGAACAACCCACTCTGGGCTGGCCTCTTCTCTGCTTTCCCTTTTCAGGGTTAATAGACTTTGAGTGCTACAATGGCTCCATGCACCAGGTGTTCCTGTGGTAAATACAGAATGGGCACAACAGCTGGCTTTTACAAAAGTGAAGCTATTAAATGCAGTTTAGATTCTATTTAATTCGATATAGTCATTGCTCCAACATAAGCAAGTGATAGCAGCAATGTTGTAATTTCTATTCAGTTCCTAGATTCCCCAATGGAGACTTGGAAAAAGAGAAAGCTTGGAAAATTCTGTGGTTTGGCTTTGGCTAAACTTATATCCGCACATTTCCTTATCAAACAGACATTGTGTGTTGGTAGTAGAGAGCCTTTACATTAGAGCTCTGTGCTGGCAGAGACAGCCACTCACTAAATACAAGGCTTAGTCATGAGAGCTCATTCCTATCTCCCTCAATAATTAATTTCTTATAATTTTTTTAATAATTTCTAAGTGTTTCGTATAATGCAATACACGCTTTTGAAATGGGGCATGTCAGGGCAATTCCTCAACTTGTAGCTGAAATTTAGCACCTGCCTGAAAGCACAGTGTTGGTTTATCTAACTCCAATTATATGATGGAAAAATAGAAAAATATTGATTTCGTACTCGCTCCCTCTGAAGTCTGACACTGAAGAATCCCCAGCCCTATTCCAAATTCTATTTCTCTTTCCTGCAGTAACCTCCTGATACATCCTGGATCCTTCTTCAGTCTGCAAGTCTCCATCTATGATGTTGCAAACACAAGATCTCCTCTTTCTCAGCACTGGGAAGAATCTCACACTGTCTCATTATGTTCCACATATTTTGAGAGCAAACTTAAGGTAACCCATACACCTCCTGCTGCTTCCTGCACAAACTTCTGGCTCATCAGCCACTCCTCCCAGTTTTGCATCACCTGGGGGCACACTCTGCCCCATCCTCCAGGTCATAAATGAAGCAAACAGGCCTGGGATGTGCTGCTGGTCCCCAGTCAGACTTCCAGGGACTGATCTGCCCCCCTGGGCCTGCCCATTCAGCCAAGTTTTTTTCTCCAGCACACTGTCTGCTCATTCAGCCCATACTTCATCAACTTTTCTATGTAAGATAATGTCAAAATGCCTTGGACCCACATGATCTTGTACAGTTAACAAATAAAAAAAGTCAGGTTCTCTTCCTGAAATGCTTGCATGGTTAATTAGGTTGTCAACTGCAAAACAAAAAAAACCCCACAAAACAAACAAAAAAAACCCAACAAAAACACACAATCCCCAAAACAAACAAACCATAAAACCCCCAGACAAAACAAACAAACAACCCCCCAAAAAGAAACCAAACAAACCCCCATCAACCAAAAACCCCAACAAACCTGTCTGTTTTTCAGAATGCTAACACACCGTTGTCATGGCCACAAATTGCCATAGTGACATTAGATGCATCTGTATTTCTAGCTTAAAATTGCTTCTATTTTCACAGAAAATAAATCCAACTGAAAGAAACTACTCGTCCATCTTTAGCAGGAAATACTACTAAAATTCAGAGTATAAATTAGGGCAACACACAGCAACTGGTTAATTGCAAAAGGGGGGGGAATAAATCACAAACATTGCCATTTACAGAGCTGCTTCCTGCAGCTAGAAAATGGTTTGAACGTACAACAAAAGAATTTGAGGACAGTTATTCTGTAACACTATTGTCTCAGAAAGACTCACTGGATAAGGGCTCAATTAGAAAGCCCAGAGAGCTTAAATAGCCTTTTTAGTCAGAGGTTAACTGCAGTATCATCTCTTTCAGAGCCCCGGTTTGTTTTCCCCCCAACCCCAAGGAGGACCTTCCCTCTCAGACACGGGAAATATTGCTGTTCGACCTGTCATAACTGAACTGTTATCAGATAAGTCTCTGCTCTCCCATTTTCAGTGATTTTATGCTATGCTTATACCCTCTAGTGGACAAAAAGAAACTCACAACCCTCCTTGTGCCTCTGGATCAGCACTGTGCTAACAGGAGCTCCGACATGAAAACGCTGAGTCAAAACAACCCTCTAATTTCTGCACTTCCAGGAACATCCTTGAGTCATCTTTACCTGGCTACATCTGCCCCGGCCCCTCCACTGTCTTACCAGGCTGTCATTCAGCCAACACTGGCCCATACGTAGCTCCCCATACCTGAATTTAGACGTGAATTCAACGTCAAAATAAAAAATTCATTTATCTCTACATGACATTCACAACGTTTGAGAAATGATCTAACAGGGGAGTCGAAGGTGATTAGTCCCTCAACTCAGTGCTTTCCCAGATGAGGCAGCAGCACGAACACAGGAGGTTTGTATTCGATATCAGCTCTGACGATCGGGATAATGTCTCTACATTTTTTAGTCACCAAAAATTTTCAACTTCCTTTCTGTTTGGTAAGTTACTAAGCATTACTTGTGATAAAAACGTGTGATACAAAATTTTATATGCTTGCCATGCAGACCGACGTTCCTCCCAAACCTGCTGCAAAGAACACGACTGAATTCCCTATCTGTGTAAGTCACTAAAAAATTTATGGCAGCAGTGGAAATGCAAAGATAGGTACAGTTATATATCACAGAAGACTTCAGCTTTTGCTCCTTTGGTGTTCACTGATTTCTGCAGCATTCCCACAAATGTTACTTCTAACATTATTTGTCTAAATACGCAGCCAGAATGCTCTTGTCCAAAGGGTCTGCACTGAGCACATTTCAGCCAGAATCCACTGCAAGAAAAGGGAACTACATCAAACTCTGCTACTGGCAATCATTGTGATTCCACCTGGGAATCCAGCTCTAGGCCTTCTTGTACATGTATGAATCTAGGTCACAGGATTAAATAATGGAAAAAGGCTAAATTTCAGCTCTAATACAGTATATTCCATGTCTCCACAGTCAGCAAAGTGGAAGCAGTCCTTTGCTTAATAAGTAAACTAAAAAAATACAACGGGTTCACAGAATAGTTGGAGCTCAGAAACAGAGCAAGAAAGTAACAGTTTTCTTGCAAGGGGTTTAGGCAAAGAATTTAGGCATACAAACAGCAGTGACCTAAATTTACCTGCAAAGTTGCAGAAAAAACCCTCACTGTTTCTTTTCACTTCATATTATTTTCGTTCCAGTTGTCATCATAAATAGAGCACTAGAAATTCATGCACTGAATTTTGGGGTTCTACATACAGCTGTGTGTATGAGCATAGCAAAGTCCAGCATTTGGTTCACCCAAAAATGTAGGCTTTGGCAGGGGAAGGGTATAATTTCCCAGATGAATGTATCCTCTGGAGCTCCCTGCTGGTGCTTCTCCAGCATAACACATCTATTACAAAGTGATGAGAGATACTTGATACTCATCCGGTCCTCCCTGCAGATCAGCTGCCTGCTGAGGTAAAAGTCAAGCTTTATTGTTCTGAAGTGATGAAAGGCTCAGGAATCTCAATCCATGAGGCTCAAGCCCAGTTCAGAAAGGTACAACACAGAGAGAGAGAGGTGTTCTGAGAGAAACCAGGCTCTAATCTGTAGAATGCAAAGTTTAAGAGTTGCTTGGGGCTCAGAAAGTCAGCAGTATTTACGGGACAGCTGTACTGCACACAGCCCATTTTCCACTCCAATTCTCTCAGGACCTTGTCTCCACTTACTGCTGAAACCAACTGTTCACACCTCTGAAGGTCTCTCCAGGCTTTTTAACAATACCTACAAGGAACATAACACTGAGTTATGTTTACAGTGCCTTGCAGTAGCACCAAATTCCAGATGAAAGGTGACCAGGAAACCTTTCTCTTCAGTAACACTAAAGCACATTCCCACACAGCATATGCATTTCTGCACGTGTCAGCTCTTAAACATTAAATTCAGTAGGATCCAGACCACAGTCAGCACACAGGAACTCCTGGGCAACTGGCTCTAGGTGGCTTTGACTAAGTAGGGAGGTTGCACCAGATGACCTCCAGAGGTCCCCTCCAGCTCTGACAGCTCTCTGATTCTATGAGCTCATGCAGCTTCAGAATACTCGGCTGATTTTTCACATATCTCACTTTGCAGGACAAAACTCAGAAAGCAGCACCACGAGATGCCTCAGCCAGGTGGCACACTACAAATTCTTAGTGGGTAAAGCAAGAAAAGCTATGGTACAGAGCAGTTCCACAGAGATGTGATTTGGCCTCTCTCCAGCAAGCAGTAACGTGACAACACAGTGTCCCAATTAGAACGAAGGATAAGAATACAATTTTTTTCCCCCTGCATTTCTCCCTTAGGGAATAAGCCTCACTTTCCAGCATTATATGCAACTTTGGAAGACAGATAGGAAAACTCAGCTCAATCCAACAGCTGCTCCCAAGCATACAGTGACACTTCACAGCTAATTTGTGAGCCTCCTTAATGCAATGCTACCTGCAGGTCAGAGAACCAGCAGAGTTCTCCACAGTTATCTTACTTTCCTCCTAAGGCACTGTGTTTCCTGCTGATTAAGATGGCACAGAATAACAATAAATAACAATTTCTGGAAAAGTTGTGGCTCTCTAGAAATTTTACTTTTCAAGGCTGTATATTGTGAGGGAGTCGTACTTCCAAGAGGGATATATAAAGGAAAGCCCAGCACTGCAAAAACACAATGAATGGAACTCAATTCACTAAGATGAGGGAAGGTGAAGCTTCCCCAGAACAAACTTTGCAATTTTAAGAACACCAGCATCCCTCTCTCTATACACCCTCTACCTACCAAGGAAGTTAATCTCGTCTAAAAGAAATCAGTCTCGGAGACCTGAAGCTGGAGAATCAGAAACTCAAGAAAGTACAGTAAGTAATAAAGATGTTTAGCTGAAGTGTAAAGGTTTAAAACCTGACAGTAGTCTCCCCTACATTTTCATATCTCTTACCCACCATGGAGGGTACTGCCAAGCAAGAAAACATTTTTCCCTTTTATGCAACAAATCATTAAGTTTCTTACATGAGAAACCACATTTCACTATTTTCTTTACCAACATCAGAACACTGACTTGTAATACTATAAAGCATGAAGGTAAAAACATTTCTTTTCAAAAGGCAGTCATGGCTTCAACTTTGTATCTCATGGTGCAGGTATTTTAGGGTAATTTTAGGCACACAAAGTTTGACACACACACACCACCCCCTCCCCACCCCCTCCCTTCAGGTATCATTTTCTCTTACTGCATTTCTCTCTGTGCCCAGGCATATTAGGAAAAGGTTATAAACACTTAGTGAACACAACAGGTTCTACTGCTAGGTGAAGATTTAACCATTTGCTTAATTGCACAATGAAGCCCACAGATGATACTGAAGAGAAACTACATTCCAGCATTTCCTGCTGAAAACACTGAACAGCAGCTGATAAAAGCATTTTATCAAAGCAGCACATTCAGCGTTCTCATTAACAAGAGAATTTCTATGCAAGACAGTGCCATCCAATGCAGGACTATATCTAGAAACTCACTAAGAGGTCACGTGGGTGGTGGTAGATCTGCAGAGGCTTTGATCAAGCAAAGCACAGTCTAGCAGTCACATTTGTACTAGAAGAAAATAGTATCCATGCTAAGACATTGTTCTTGCTCTGGGTAAGTTCTGCTGCTTGGCATCATCAGCTTCGTATCACACACTAGATAACAGTCCCTGACTCTACTCCAGGCTCACTCCTGCAACCAAAAGTCATTTAAATCCCCTGTATAAACAAAAGCCAGAGTAAAACTGACCCATACTTACCCACGAGCTAATGACATCAAGCACCAACGCTAAGTAAAAGCTACTTAGCACAGGACCCAGCTCAGGAAGACAAAAATAAATCCAAATGCCAAAACGATCTTCAGAAAATTCTTCCTGTGCTTCAAAGCAGAAGAGCCACCATAAATGAACTGATTCTGGAGAACATTCTGGAAAAGTCACCCTATGGAAACCTAGTAATCACAGACTGTCACAACACAGGCACAAGGAAAGGGCATGAAGATCAACATAAGGGGGGACTTGGCTTCCAAATGAAGTCCCTCACAAGGACTTACATAAATAATTTGCTATGGAAAATTTTAGCTAAAGAAAAAAAAAATAAATCAAGAAACATGGTCATAGAGATACTTGGTATATAGAGAATAATGGTTCTCTCTTGCTCAGTATAGTAAAGTCTAGGACAGCATTTCCTCACAACTGAATCTTCCCCATAATAATGGAAGATTTTTATCCCTTGTCTGGAGAGAGGAATTTCCTGTGGAAACAGAAAGTATTCCTGCTTCAAGGACATGCACTTGCATGTGCTAGTGAGACAGGAACACAAAGTTTGCTTATAAACTAAAAAGAACAAAATAATTGTTTTCTTTTTTTTTTTTTTTTGTGAAACTCAAAACTCAAAGCCAAATCTAGGATTTTCTATTGGCTTCTGGATAAGGCCTTGTGGATAACTTGGGACAAATATTTCTGACAAGATACAAGTTTCTGACATGGTCTGTCAAAATTTCAACTTTTAAAAGCTATAAATAAAAGTAAAACCAACTTCGTTGGTTTCCTAAAATAACTGATTAATTCAACAGCAAACAATTTGCCACCAAGACAATGGGAAACAAGAAAGAATTCAGTCCTGATCTTCAACTTTATAAACTTTTGAAGGGCTATCCTCTAGGACAGAAATACTTGTGGAACTTTAGTTGCAGAAGTGCTTCTATACCTTGTCAACAGCAAAATACTGGGCTCTGTGAATTCACTGTAATTTCAGAAATTGGACAGCAAAAGATGTGGGCAGACAAACACCTGCAGCTAGAGCTGGGAATGGTCTTCAGTAGGGAAGTAAGAGCCAGGCTCCTTTGATAACTAGTTTGAGTAAAAATTAAGACCATCAAGTTTGCATTCAGACAACCACATCTGTAAGTACAGATCTCAGCAACAGGAACCTTACTCATCTCATAAATTCTGACTGACTCAGTTGGCAAGTGTGCAGGGGATCTCCCCTCAACAATGTTCAAGAGATTAGTATGGCTTGGCATGATGTCATTTTTCTCTGCAGCGCTGCAATTTCACTCCCACAACACATATTCTACATTCAGTGTAGTCTTCTGTCCCAAGTGTTATATATTGCTCAAGTCTCAGGACACTGATAAACATGGCACATGGTCTGACAGAAAATGTGTGCAAGGGCTGCAGTAGGATCAAGCAAGAGGACTGATTAATCACAGCATTGTGCCCTACTCCCTGCTTTTTATCCCCCATACATGAAATCCTGGAGTTAGCAAAATTCATACATCAACTGTTTATCAGTTCTCGTGCCCTGAGGATCGAATCTCCTACAGCTGAGAGGTAAGGGCTTCTGAAATTCTCAAGTATGCCCACAGACTTTCCCCAGTCATCTGGTAGAAGAATTTGTCTGCAGTAACAAAATCAGGATGACATGGAGTTCAACCCCTAAATGGCAAAGCAAGTACCCTTGCCATGGAACTGCACGGGACTCGCCTCATTCTGATGCTCCCACAGGAATCAAAGTGGGCACCAGAACCTGAAATAAAATTCAAGCAGCTTCAAAAAGAGCCAAAATCTTACAGATGCCAAACTTTCCTTCTCAACAGTTAACTCTCAGAGATACCTGTATCTACTCCATCATACAATGTGCATGGTAACAGCACATTTTCTTCATTACTCAGTTTTTCAATTATCTCCCTTCACCTCCCAGAAAAAAATAAAATAAAACCCAATCTCTTCATCTTCCAGGACGAGTAATGGGAATCTAGCATTTTCCTCCCATGAGCTAGTCCTTTATGTTCAAAAGCACCCAGCATACATCATTTCAGTCACCTTCTCAGAGGGGATGGACATGTCAGGTACGGTCCACTCTTACGGAATATGACTCATGGTGGGCACTTCTTAACAACACACAGCTGCAGAAGGATACCCAGAGCAAGATAAGACATTTTTGGGAGCCACCCACCCCTGTGGAACTCCAGTGTCTAGTATTTTTCCAGTTTCTGTGCAATGGATGTCTCAAACCCTAGTCAGTTCTTGCAGCAAAGATTCTCAACTAGGGTTATACAGTGGGAATTCCAAAGCAACTGGCTATGTACAGACATATCAGCATTCCCTCCAACAGAGGGATGAAAAGGAGAAAATTCCTGAGGATGTGTATCCTCTACTCCATTTTCTGAATCCCAGCCTCCCCCTTGCCTTGGAATGAGCTCTACAAAGCAGTATCTGTTATGTACAAGAATCTCAGCTCCCTTCCTTTGGAGAGTTTCCCCTCAAAAGCGAAAATCCCGGGACAGAGACAGGTGCTGGGGAGGGGGAGGTCGCCTTAGGATGACTCGCCAGAGGCAAGAGAGCCAGCAGCTTTCTTCTTGGGCCGGGCTTTTACACTCCTTACTGGAAGCTGGGGAGAAAGAAAAAGAGGCATCTTAGACTAGTTTACCTTAACATCTAAATGTCTGACAGAAAGGTGAAAGAATGAGGAGTGGAAATAGAACAAAACAACTACAACAAGATGACCCTGTTCATGTCTTCTGTTGTCTCAAAAGGCTATTTAAACGTTCTTTTTTTTTCCTTGGTTATTTATTAAACAAATCACTCAACACATCCATCAAACAGCAAACAGGAGAAGACATTCTAAAACAGGACAGCTACAGTAATAAAATCGAAGTTGTCTCAACAGAAGGTCAGACACAGCAATATTTCTAACTGGTAACATTCATGTAACACTTCACTGCTGCAACTTTTCTGCTTCTTGACTTCCATCACCAGTGCAGTTCTCTGAAAGCTGTAGAAACAGCTTGAGCTACCCTGCATCCTTTACTCCTGTGTCTGTCATTCTGGATATTGGCTAGAAGAGCACATTTTTTCATCTATGATGCATTCAGCCCTGGCAGGCAACTCAGAGGTCTCAGTCAAAGGCCTCCTACAAATCCTACATCTGAACCAGAGATCCAACAGTCTGAGCATAAAAACCAATATGCCTACAAAGGGCTTTATCAGTATTTCTGTATTCACAATAAACAGCATAAAAGAGTTTGTTTTGGCTTTTCACAGTTTCACTTTAAAAATTCCTCACTAGGAAGCTCGGAATCCAGTTTTGATTCTCTTGTTTCCCTGCTCCTGTCTAATATGCTAGAGAAAAAAGCAGAGGGGTCACTTCAGAAATAAGCCATAGGAACTTGAAAAAGATCCGGGTAATTTAAAATGCATCTTTAGACAAAGATGTCCATCCTGGGAGACAATCAAAAGCCAACTGGACCTGGTCCTTGCTTGAGCAGTGGGGTTGGACCAGACGAATTCAGAGATCCCCTCCAACCTCAATTATTCTGTGATTCTGTCACAAAGAGTACTTAAGCACATGCAGAGGTGTCCTGTACACTGCAAAATCAGGTTAACAGCACGACCTAAAACGATGCTCTAAGCAATTACCTTCCTCCAAATTATTTAATATTTAGCCTGAATAGCTCAACAATGTGAGCCAGTTATACAGCACTCTTTATCTTAGATAAAAATAATAAAATTAGTAGACCAAGTTGAATCAAGCTACTTCACAAAAAGGGAGAGCCATTTTCATCACATACAAACCAAACCATAAGGAATGTTTGAGTCAAAGCCTGGAAAGCAGCACCTCAAAAAGCATATTCTATAAAACACACTGACAGCTGGATAAAAAAATTGCTAAGTTTAAATGACTCTTGGGGACAACTGGGGGGAGAGGAGGAGTGGGGCAGGTGGGGAGTGGTGTGATTTCCTCCTGTGAAGTTGAGGGAGGCCTAGGAGGGCACAGAACTGCTGCGTTTTAGGGTAAGGTTAAGTGGCTGCCCCACAGATAAATGCCACAGTACCATTACACCATCAGACTGTAACAGACAGGAGTGAGGATACAGTCAACAAGACATGTTAAAAATATTTAATGCTCCACCCTTCAACACAAAACCCAAATAAAAGAGAAGCTGGGTCCTGGCTTATGACAGAGGCTTCCAGGCATGCTAAAAATGCAAAAGCTAAAGACAGTATGGCAAGCAGACGAGTCCTCTGATTCAACTAGCAAAGACAGTCCAACAAAATTTATATATACAGCTTTTAAATGTGCTGAGCCTATCAAGCTAGAGTCCTCCAACAAAGCTCACAAATCAATGTCTGTGCTGGAAATAATCTATACACCAGCTCACCTCAGTTTTTGTCACCTTTTTAGGAGCTTTGAGACTCTGGGTACGTTTAGGAAGTTTGTCTCCTGCATCTTCATCTGATGGGTCTGTTCTAGGCTCTGATGGGGTTCCATTAGACCTATGTGCCACACTGCTCTCCTCTCCTGAGGAGTAACAGGAAGCTAAGGAACAAGAGAGAAAGTTTTAGCAAAGCCTAAAATGACCCATCCTGAAGGACCACATGGAAGGGAAATGCCAACAATCTCAAAGGATAATCCAAAAGTGCAGAGATGCACGGTAAAGGGCAGGCTCTATGGGAGGCAATGCATCTTCTCCCAGACAGCAGCAATCCTGTACTCCTTCTGAGAGCCAAGGCATGGCAAGTGCAGGGAACCCCTCCTGGCTCACCATACAATGCCCAGCAGGGCTCTGTACCTGAGTCCTCGATGGTTTCCAGCAGACTCCCACCAGAGGAATGCAGCTGTGGATCGCGGCTTCGCATGTGCACGGTGTCCTCATCCCGGATCAGAGTGAGGTCCTGCATGCTGAAACTTCGAAGCTTCTCAGACAAAACTCCCTGGCCCTAAGGGGACACGAAAATTAGGGTGAAGGGCTCTTCACCAAGATCATGTCACGTGGGATCACTCATTCAGAAGAGGAGGAAAGGTGCCCTATTCCCCACTAGGGCACTCTGAAAAAAAAACGAGAAGGGAAAAGAAAAGTATGCTCCCAAGCCCAACAATGAAGTGGTTAAAGCAAAACCCACTCCACTCCCCCTCCTCTTTTTCTAAGTCAAAAGATGGGATTAACTGCAAGGCAAACTGGAGGAAAGGAAAAGTAGACTGGTGCCAAACAAGTAGGAGTACCCCTAACACAGCACACAACACTAGACCATTCAGGAATCCCAGAATTTTACAGAAGGTGTTGGATTACCTTTGCAGCTGCAGTAACTGCTGCATTGGCAGCAAGGTTTAACCCTCTCTTGCCAACTCGCATCATGGTTTCATAGCTCTTGTCACAAGCCTGAGTAATGTATTCATCAATCTCCTAGGAAGGCAATGTGGAACATGGCATTCAGCTCCTCGTTATAAACGTGATCAAAGTCTCCCCATCAACACCCTTAAAAATGCAAAGCTCAGCTGGACATTTTTCCCAGGCTACCACCATCAGCTGTTATGGATCACATAACAGGAGTTTCTCTGCTACTTACAGAAAGCTTGTAAATGCAACTTTTAATTACATAACTTACTTCCAAATTATCACAACCGAAACAAAGCAGTCGCTTACACTGACAATGAAAAAACAGATGGGCTACAGAACATGCTGCTCCTATCACGATTCAAAAAGCTTAACTACTGACAGTGACTGTAAGAGCTCATGACACTGGGTTAGCCAAACATGCTTGCTAAGCTTTAGGCAAACTACTGGCTACATTACAATCTCCAGTAAGCTGCAGTATGACATCGTTGTCAGAGACAGAACCACTCTACATCCACTAGTGTCAGCACAAGCATGATTCACACATTTCAGTTCTTATTGTGGCCTAACTGAATCAGAGGTCAGTCAGCTCCCAGACAGGTCAGTATCTTCTAACAACAAGCAAGTACCTTCTCCTTATTGGAGAGCGTTGGGTGCACAAACTTCCTGTAGAGGACACTGGAGCCCTTGGTGTAAGGGGAGAGCAGCCAAATCACAAATGCGATTTTCAGCTCGAAATAAAAGGGAAACCTGAGAGAAAGAGGAAAGAAAAAAAAAAAGAAGGAGAGAGAGAAAGATGGAGAACTGGAATCAAGATCAGCACAGAGACAGATGGAGATAACTGGTAGAGAGCAGCATAGGCAGAAAGAGTGCAGGCAAGATAAAGGCTCAGAAACAAGAGAATTGATTAATCAGGTCAGAAAAGCAGAACCCTCTTTAGAATCCTAGGACATACCTTCTTCGAGTCTCATTTAGTCTTTCATCCATAGCCATGAAAACTCCATAAACAGGGCATCTCTCAGCCCTGCAAACACACCAAATTACAATCTGATAGCTACTCTCATCATTCTGAAGTTTGTTCAGAGAATATCCAGTGGATGTTAATATTACATTAGCTTCCCTTCTCATTTTCCAAAATTTTCAACTACATATCTTAATAATGTCATGTTCCTGCTAAGGCTGATAGCTGCTTCTGAAACTTCCTGTAGGTATTCCTCAGATAAGACACAAGAGACAGAGTAAATGAAAAAGAGCAGGCAGGATGTAAGTCTTTTATCTCTAACCCTTACCCAGAAAACTCTCTGGGAAGATACAACAGCAGAGATTGAAACAAGTGAATGCAAACCCTCTACTGACTCTACTAGTATAAGAAACTTCTGTTTTCAGAGGTTCATTTTAAGTATGTGAACAAGATAAAGCTCTTGTACTTTTTAGATCTTTGTCTGCTTTTCAGAGTTTACACAGGAAGAAGCAAAACCGCTGAGCACTTCTGTAAGGCAGGAGTAGCCATTGCATGATTGTTTAAAAGATGAAACTCTTGACTAATATTGTTTCAGGTATCTATGCAAAGCCCAAACACTGAAGCAATGAAGAAACTGAAGGCATCCTGTTCCAAAGGTTCAGCTGAAGCTCTGTGACAATTATTTGTCATTTTTGGAGGCCTCCATATTGCCAAGCACGACACAGAGCACTGAAAGGAGCAGGAACCTGCTTCATGCAATCCACTCGTGCATGTGATCTGCTCCTCCACACAACAGGCTGTCAAAGCAAAATAGGTCCCTTCCTTCTACCATCTTTTTATTTTGGAGTGTCTTTCAGACCACCATTTTTCAAACTTTACCAGTTCACATTAACAGCTTCTCAAAAATCTTTCATGTTATGAATGGATAAAGATCCTCTTACAGATACGGTGCATTTACCCTAACTTTGCAAGGACAGGAGATGAAACAGCTAAGGCAGCAGCTACTACCCACAATAACTACAAATCTGCTGACTCTTCATAGGGATTGAAAACTCCTAAAGGAGAGACAGTTAATTCATAGCATCCTACCACTTCTCTCTCCTTAAAAAAACCCAACAAAACAAAACAAAACCAAACCAAACCACCACCACAACAACAGAAAAAGATCCCAACAAGGAACTCACCAAGAGAGAACAATGTCTGTGAGTGTTTCTGCAGTGGTGAAAAAGGCAAACACGATCCAGTACATCATCCACTTCACCTGCAAAAGAGCAGTCACTCAGTAGACATCCATCAGACCCAGGAAAAAAGTGACATGTCTTCTCAGCATAAATGACTCATCAACTCCACACACTGAGATGAGTTCAATAAGAAGGAGGATATACAATCAGTAATGGAGAGGGTCATATACTAAATGGTACATTATAGTCTGGGAAAACATGTAGGATTAATGTGCTTTAAAAAGATAAATGCATAGATACACTGATGAACAACATTATGATGCAACAGTGTTAAGGTCCCAGATGAGCTGGAAAGACTCATCAGTTCACTTTAAGAAGTTACACTTTTATATATCATGAATATTGTAATAAATATATATATACACACCCATATGTAAAAGTTTAGAGTTTCACTGGAGCCCTATATTTTCCTGATGTAAAGGTTTTTCCTTGGGAAAAAGAAGAAAACCGACAAACCAACAAATATATTATTTTGCTCTAACCCATTATTAATTCTTTGCCTTAATCACTACTCCCAGAAATTATACAAGCAATTCTTTCTTTGTAGATAAAGGCTCACTGAGAAAGGTAAAAGAGCAAAGAACATGCCCCATCAACCTCATCTTATTTAAGGTTTTGAGTATCTATATATAAAAAGTTCTTTGTGCTATTATGGCACATCTGCATATGCCTATTGTCTGTCTCCCTCTTTCCTCACACCCTTATCTGGAGCAGTGTTTCTTTCAAAGCATAAAATAATTTCCCCCTAACAAACACCTGTTCTAGTAACAGGTTTCTCTGTTACAGGCCAATTATTCCTAAGGAAGAATCAGCTGAATTATAGAAACTGCTTTCTCGTAAGAGAAATTGTCAGTTTTCTCTGCTGTTGAGAATTAGAAATAAATGTGAGTAGTGGATAAATGCAAAGGACACCTTTACTAAAAGCAATTTAACACTCTTAATGTCATCAAGAATGGGAAAGAAGAACCAAACCGAATCAGGGAAATTCCTCATATCAAATCCACACATTAATCCACATATTAAAATTACATGAACAGTAATTTCATGTCATGTAATAATGACATGTTGACAATCTTTGTTACAGCAAATGATATAAAAGCAGGTATTCCCCCAAACTTGCATGTGTTGGAAAATTCCATGATTTGTTCTTGAAAGACCCCCCAGAACTTTCTCAGAAAAGTAAAATCAATCTGCCTCCAGCCCCTCTAACATAGTGGATGGGTTAGAAGATAGTGGTTAGTAATTCAAACTGTTTCCACTTTATGGTGATTTTTTTTTTCCACAACACAAAGTAACAAAACTTGTACTGTATGGCTCTCTCCTGCCTTTTTTTCCCCCTTGTATCATCAGTTTGGACAGGACCAGGTGTCATTCAGTTGATCTAAAGCAACTCTACAAAATGAATGGTTAATTCTTCAGCACAGCAACATAAATCAGCTCTTGTTTGAAAAAGTGTGTGAATAAGGATAAACCAAAGTTTGAAAAAAGGGATCCCAAAGGGTGAGAGATTTCAGAGAAGCCACATACCAGTAAACCTTACATCAGCATTAGGCAAAATGAAGGCAATATTAATAATAATAAAAGCAATTAGCAGATATAATATATATATATGTAACAAAATAAGGAATATGTTTGGGGTTTTTTTAAATAAATTCACAATTGTAGCAGAATTCTTACATTTCCATAAACTCTTGCTGTAGTGCTTTCCTTACAGGCAGGGTGTATGGAGTTTCTAAATAGTTTCTAACAGGTCTAAATAAACACTTATAGAAACGAAATTGCCAAGGATAAAAAGGAAGGGACTCTTGAGGATTAACAGTTGGTTAAAAGAGAGGAAACAAAGGATAAAAATAAATGGCCACTTTTCACAATGAGGAAAGTTACCAGTGGAATCCCACAGGAACCAGTGCTGAGATCTGTGGTGCTCATCTTCATGAAAGATCTGGAAAAGGTTGTGAATAATAAGATGACAAACTGTGCAGGAGACACTTTTCTATCCAAGAGATTAGGTATGAGGTGATTAAAGAATTCAAAAAAGGATCCTGATTGATCTCCAGTTGATATTTTGTCTCTAAATTTGATTAAATATAAAGCAGTGAACTTACAGCATCTGCTTTTTCTTAGTGAAAACTCCTGTGGTTACATAAATTAGCTGATGTCACTCAGGAGGGGTCACTGTAGGCAGCCAGATGAAACCATAAGCTCAGTGCTCATTAGACTTTTTCACTCTGCTAACAGAATGCTCTGGAGTATTAGATGATGCACTGAGAACAGAAAACATTGCTTTGTACTGTTTAAATAAACTGCATGTGTGTATCTTGCCTTCTGTCTCCTCCTGCTCACCCTATACTCTACAGCCAAAGACAAAAAGAAATACAGCCCTTAAATAAACTAGAAGGATCCAACTTCTAGTTCTAGAAGTCCCTGAAGTGCAGATGACCAGAAACTAGAAGAGCAAAAAGCACAGGGGAAGAAACATGAATTTTTTCTTATGACAAAGACCTTCCAAAACTGAAGCTTAAACCAGGCTATTTTTTTTTAAGCCACTAAAAAGAGTCAGGTCTTTGCTGCTCAAGCTGATGGTCACTAACTTCAGCTAACTGCACATACACTGTCTCCCCCACCTGCACCAAGAACCTAAATAAATTCAGCAAATGCAAAAGCACAACTCCAATGTACATTTGACCAAAGCTGAAAAAAGAAAAAACTCTGAGCTACAAGAAGCAGTTTGCCACAACTGCTCAGGGACTTAGCATAAATTCATACCATGGTGGTGGAGAACACTAAGTTTGCACTGAAGGACTGCTGGTGGTAGCTTGGTCTGTGCCAACTCAAGCTTCAATACCCCACTGCAGCACAGACACCCCTGTGAGACCTTTCTCCACCACCAAACCAAACTTTGATTCTCAAGCACTATGAGCAAGCAGCTGTACATGGGAACAGCTGGCTTTGAAAATGGGCTGCACAGCATTCAAGTTGTCTGCTGACTTTTCACATGAAGAACAGTTTGAACAGACAGCGGCCCCTTTTCCCACACTTAACATAAATGCTTTTCCCCCATCTTTCCACTTATGTTCAGAAGGAAGAAACCCTTCAAAGGTAAGTGAATAAGGCAGATGGCAACAACATCTAAATGCCTATTTCTGATGTAGGGGTTTGGAATAGATGAGCTTTAAGGTCCCTTCAACCCAAACCATTCTGTGATGCTATGATTTTTCACTATCAGATTCAGGCAGTCTTGGAGCTGCTTAGGTAACACCAAAAGAAAATCAGATCAAGACAACATTTACATTCTGCAAAGAATTAAAGCACTTATGTACCTCAACAGCACCTACTCACAGAAAATAAGCAGGGTTTTACTGTAAAGAATGCCAGTTGCTTTTAAAAAAATGAGGGTTTGAGGTCTTTTTCCCCATCAAGTTCTTAATAAAATGATTTAAAACTCTGAAATCTGAGTCTGTCTTCAAGTTCAGATTCTGTAACTGGAATGCAATCATTCTGTTACAGACACCTGTGAGCCAGAATAAAATTCTGGGTAAAAAATACACATTTCACACAACAAATGAAGGTCACTGGCAACTGGAAGGAAGTGAGGAATGCCAGAGAAGACAATAGTAATAGGATAGTACTTAATATGTAACCTCAAAGGTAACTATGAAGTCATAGGATCACGTGATTATTCATTGAATTTCTTTGTTTCCTCTTTCTAATGCTGCTACTAATAAACTTCAAAGTTTAGTAAGGCTCATCATATTACTGACTGTATCTCTAATACTGTGTCTCTAATACTCTAAATACAATTTATCAGTTATCAATGCCTCCAGAACATTCACATTTCAACTTCTTTGCTGAGACCAGTATTAAAACAAAATCCAAAGCCAAACACCTGAGCCAGAGGCTGTAGTTTGTAAAGGTGCCCACTGTGAGTGAGATTCTCAGCTTAATCCATATCTACTTAAAAACCTCTGGGCTGAATTTTAAGCCAATGCCCAGGAAAGGTCTGGTCAGTTCCAGAGGGCTGGAGCAGCGTGAGCCAAAACAGGGCTATATCCTGCAATATTTATTGCTGATATGTCATTCCCTAAGGAGCAAACAGAGACTGCTGGATGAAGCCTCGGACTGTACCACAAAGCAATACTGACAAATTCTATCCTAATCACTCATGGTACTTCTTCTTCACGTTATTCCTTGGTCTAGATGAACGGAAATTCATCCCACCCATAAGACAAATAGCTCTTGTCTCTGCTGATCACCTTAGAACACCCCTTCTGTAAGAGGATGACACACCACATCACAAGAAAACTCTTGGTGTTTAAAATATGGTAATTGTAACGATGGTGTAGACAGAGAGGGGGAAACGATTCCAGGAGGGAAAGAGGATGAAATCTTGACCAACAGAAAACACTGATCACAACCAAAGTTGACAGGAAGCCACAAACCAAGCAAGATTACTCAGCCCTTTGGAAGAAAACTAAAGTAGCACTGAAAAAGCTGTAAAGGACACAGAGTAAGGATAAAGTTACAAGAAGGAACTTGTCCTGGACTTTCATATGCTTCCAGACTGCAGCGTTTGCCCCGCTTTCCCTTCCTCACTCAGCATCTCCTGAGAAAAAGCAGCCCAGGTTTATGGTTTGGAACCTCCCATTTTAGTGAGCGCCCTTTCCTCGGCAGCTTCTCCGGAGCCGGCCGGGGCTGAGCCGAGCGGGGCCGGGGCTGAGCCGAGCGGGGCCGGGGCTGAGCCGAGCCCAGCGGGGTCAGCCGGGGGGGCTTTGCGGGGCGGCCGCGGGGGACGGGGCGGGCGCTGCGCCGGCACGGCGAGCCCGTACTCACATATTCCTTCACGTTTTTCGTCTTCACGGCCTTGTAGGACGAGTACGCGGGGTAGAGGGTGCCGAAGATGAGCCTGCGGGCAGAACGGACCGCTCAGCGCCCCGCCCCGCCCGCCCCCCCGGGCCGGCGCTGCCCCGGGACGAGCCGGGACGAGCCGGGACGAGCCGGGACGAGCCGCTCCGGGCGCGGGGCCGGGGCCGGGCCGGGCGGGGCTCAGCGCCCTCCCCGCCGCAGCCGCCCCCGCCGCCCCCCACCCACCCCCGGTCCCGCGGGGGGCCCCGGCGGGGCAGGGCCGTGCTCGCCCCCCGCCCGCACTCACACCACGAGGCGGGAGATGATCCAGGAGACCATGGCGGCGGCGGCGCCGGGCGCGGCTCGGGAGCGGCGGCGGCGGCGGGAGGAGGCTCTTCCAGGGCAGGTTCCTGCAGCAAGCGCAGCCCCGCCCCGGGTGCTCGGAGGGAGGAGCCGAGCGGCGCAGGGAGAGGCCGCAGCGCCCCGAGCATCCGCCGCTGCGGGGTACGCGGTGCCCGGGCCGGGGGGACACCCGCAGCCCCCGGCAGGGACGGTGGCAGAGGAGAATTACAGGGGGAAATCGCTGACTTGAGATCACGGGCACTCGGGAAGGCAGAGGAGTAACAGGCAGAAGAAGCCATTTTCCATGCAGTGGCCTCCTCCAGGGAGGTCGAGGCAGCAGCTGTTAAATGCTGCAAACAGCGGAGTTAAGGGTTAAAAGCGTTTTAGAGTCCCACGGCTCCCAGTGTCTCCCAGAACCAGATGCAAACCAAAACTTGACTTGCCGATACTGATGCTTACGTTATCAAACCAGAAGGATGAAGGCTGTTACTTGTAGTTTCCAGGGTAAATTCAGTGTTGCCAGATGCTGTTACTTGTAGTTTCCAGGGTAAATTCAGTGTTGCCAGATGCTCTTCCTCGAAATTTCAATTGAGATGCCGAGGATTACTTAGTTGACTATACAAACAAGGCTGAACAGTGTGTGTCTGTGGGGAGTATGCTTGGTGTAGGGTGGGAATGTGTATGGTTAAGCATACCGGAGTCCCGGAAATTGCTGTATTTTAACAGCTCACCAAGGAATACTGTTGGGAGAATCCTCCTCCTCAGTCAGTGCTAGAGTTCATTACTGGGCCCCCGGGAGCCTGGATGAACATTACAGTCAGGGATTGATTAGGCTCAGTACATAGATCTGTGAATTACACTGAAATGACCATTACATAAGTGGCGTTTTAATTTAAAAGGGAAAAAAATGCTAGAAATCTACTGTGTTTCTTCAGCTAACCAAAAAAACCCAACGCTGAAGCAAGGCACTACGGCAAAGTGTCATTACTTGCCAAATAGCCTTTATGAAAAAGAATGAGCCCAAAGAGATCAAAAACAAAGAGCTCCTAGGGAAGAATTTTCTCATGAATGCATGAACTTTAGTATAATGAGCAATGATGAAAACACAAAACATTAGCAACTTTCCATTACATGCAAGTGTTGTGAACACGTCTCCACAGGCAGTGACAAAGAACATTTTGTCAGTGTCTGCTTTTGGATATGAATGGGCCACAAAATGATTGCATAAGTGACTGCACAATTCACACCACTCATGGGATAACTGACCTACTAATTAGATAAAAGGAATCTGCTTTCAGACATCCAAGCAACACCAACACGCAAAACCTTCAACAAAGTAATTGTGTTTTTAACTGCAGCAGTTTCATATCAGTGACCAGCATGGCAACAGCTCTGGTACTTGAATAACGTGTTCACTGGGTGAGTGAAAGATGCAAACAGAAGAGAGAAAATGCAGAGATCTGCTGAGTACAACGTGTGAACAGTGTGGGAGCACTAAATAACTGCAGCACGGGTAAGTGGCACCTAAATAAAATGTGCCTTAGTGTTTTAAGCTGTTTAATGTGCCAAGGAGTAATATAAAAATTTACAGTGCATTAGACATAAATGGTGGCAAGAACAACCATCTCAACATCAGCAGAGCAGGTGGTCTTGCAAATGTTGTAGGTGGTAGCTCACTGTTAAGTAGCTTTAGAACAAGTTCGGGAAAAGTATTTTAAGCTAGCAATTTACATTTAGCAGAAAGTAGCTCAATTTCTTTCCACATCACAGAGAAGAATGAAAAATTAATTCGTCAACTTACCTTTTCACAAGGAGAAACTACTGGGTTTTAAGGGCTATTTTTGGAACAAAAGTCAGCTGCAAGTCCAATGAAAATAGATGGATTTATTGGTAGTATTTTTATTAATTTCTTAGTAATACTGTATAATGCTGTGTAATTGAGATCTTAAGATTTACCCAGGAAAGCAATTTATCAATTGTTTTCAAATTAAGGCAAATTTCTTTCAAACGGTATGTTTTTTTAGCAGATATGCTACTGCTGGAATAACTCATGATGAATTTGTGTTCTACAAATGGTCCAAACAGGTGACCAAATATCTATCATTATGGCTAAACAATAAGGCAAAAAACCCCTACTGATTATACATCTTAGTCAATTTTATAATCACTTTGGCTGGGGACTTGTGGTGTAAGCTGTATATGAAATATGTCAGAAGTAGTTTGTGGTGGGTACTGGAGGGAGAGCGCTTCCACTGACCCATCATGCAAACTCTGGTAAGAGAGAATCATAACACATGCCCATACAGGTGTATATGACAGGCCCCAGATTAGCTGTCACTACTCAGGGAAGATAGTACAGTCATGTCTACTGGAGATCTTAATGCTTAGCATTATAAAGAAATGCAGCAACTGTATTGGAAATTGCTGATGCTACTGCATTACACATTGCCAAGGCTCTGCCTTTTTTGTCTTTATCCAATTTTAATGCTGATACACACACACACAAATGAGGGAAACAGCTGTAATCACTCTGCATGCATAGAGTACAACAGAATTGCACAAAAAATTCCACACAACAGGATATGGTGGGGTTGAATGGTTCATGGGTCTGGAATAACCCATTTTACCTCTAGCAGACTGAATTAGTCCACAGTCACAGGATAGCTGCAAGGGTATGAGGCAGCAAAAGCCTGTGAGTTGACTCTGCAGCCAGTAACCAACCTGAGAAGCTGCCAGCAATGCCACATGTCAGTGACCAGAACTGCTGCTGCCATCACAACCTCCAAGGTCAGAAACCAGGGAACCTTTACCACCCCGTCCATATCTCCAATGGAGAGGGCAGCTCTGGAACCCAGCCTCTTAGGAAGGTACTGAGAGGTGGGGAGCACAACACAAGAGATGTTTTTTATGACCAGACAGATCCTCTACCCAAACCACCTCTAAGAATGAAGGGTCTGCAAGGCAGCTGGGTGTGCTCCCAGCTAGTACTTGGGATGCCAGGCTAAACCACCCGAGCCTTCTGGTCAGACACAGGGCATGGAATTAGCAGGCAGCCCCCACTGCCAGGGGCTGAGGCTGAGAAAGCCTCAAAGCAGGAAGATCCGTGCACAAGCATGAAAGAAACTGTCCAGGCTGTTACAGTAAATGACTTTTATTTTTTAAAAAATGAAATAACCGTGAACATATTAACAGGCCTGCAAGTGGCACTACAGTACAGCTGGAGATAAGGTCGATACATTTCCCCATGTACCCAGACAATGAAATCCATTGCATCAATGCTGACATTAGTAAATTCTGAATACAGTTCTATCAAGCAGGAACATTTTACTTAAAATAGTTCTGGACAAAGTTGACACTGAAAGTTAACTTTTCCTTCACTTTGGAAAGGATAGATGTTTTCAGCTAGCACTGGTATTGGGTGAACTATTGCCTGCAGTCACCAGTGCAGGGAGAGATGTACAACATCTCCACATGAGAACAGAGTTTATACTCCTTTTTACTTCTCATTCTGAGGAAGCAGGGTGGCATAGAGAGAGGGGGGAAGACAGGTGAGGTAATATGGGCAAGGGAGGTGGGATGTCAATTTCTATTCAATTCTCCTTTGGCTGTTTTTGTGCTATTTTGGACTGCTTTCTAAAAATCACTTCTTGATTTTATTGAAAGGAAGACTAAATGTAATGCGCCTTTCCTTGAAAATCCAGGAACAATTGTGGTACTTCAAAAATACTAAAAATATCTACTTTCATGAAATATTAACTGTTTCACTACAAACCTATTTTTTCACTAAATACACAATTCTCTTATCTCTGGAGTCTCCCAGGGGGAAAAAAAAGTGGGTTCTCCCTTTAGTTCTGCAACTCTACAGTGTATAGAGAAACGGCTACAAGAAGGGGAGTGCGGAGAATAGCTTCATCCTTTTCCTTGGCCTGTATCTCACATGGGAAGTTTGCTTGAATTTCTGCAGTTGGGCTGCTGTTGGTCACACTCTTTCAGCAGCTAAACTAAGTCTGCAGCAGGACAACCCACCTCCAGCACGTTCCGTCTAACTCTGTGGAGACTAACTAGGCATGAGGGAAAAAACATCCACACTCTTTATACCATTTCTAATCATAATATGCCGGAACACCCAAGTGGTTTCCATGTTCTCCCAGTTTGCAAAAGGCCACAGGAAAGGGACATGGCACCTTTTAGAATCTGGAATTCTGCATGTTAACAGTGCAACCTTCCGTTAGACCTTCAGTGTTGAGGCAGCGTAGGAAACAGTGGCTGAAGAGTGTGTGTAATACTGACCACACCAGCTCTCAGTGAGAAGCCTCTGCTCCTGCAGAGGCAGTCGTGTGCAGTCCCTGTAGATACCGTGAGCAAAAGGCTTACTTTGACAGGGCATTTGGAATTAGCAATTCCTACGATCTAGCTAGTTTGGATTCATGAGCTTTCAGTGTGCCAACAGCATCTTTCACCGCATGGTAGATAATGTTCTTCACCTGAAACGGGAAAAAAAACCCAAATCAGCTTCTCCAGACTTAACAAGGAGAGTCCTACATACCTATGCAATCAACTTTGACAGCTGAATTTGTAATAGTTGGCAAGTGTACACAAAGTATATACTCTCCCTGCTTCAGGACATCAACAACATAAATTTTAACTGTCACAGATGACAAGTATTTTCTGATTTATTAACTCATTTTCTGGTCACCCAGCAACATATACTTACTCGTGTTATTTTAAGATAAATTCTCTCTTTTGGGAGAGCTAGGAGGAAGTGCACTATGATGTGATGTACATGAGTTTATTTTGAAAAAGTCTGTGTGACCCAAGTCACTTACAGATATACATGAATCAAACCTAAAAGGTGAAAGAAAATCATTTGGTTTAATCCTACAAAAATTAAGATGATGCAACAAACCATCCTGTTGTCTTTGTATGGAGGCTAGAAATTCTTCTGATTTGTGAATCTTTCAGAAAGACAAGCAAGATCAGGGATGAGAAATCCACCAGTACTCACAGCAATCTGTTTCACAGGTAGCTATTTAACAATCAAAGCTCAGTCTTATTTCTGATTTTTTTCTAGTTGAATTTTGTTTCTAGGTATTGAACAGAAGTTTCACCTCTAAGTGAGCAGCTCAATTGCACTTGCTCAACTGCCAAGCACCATCACCTTCTCCTGATATACACATGAGCTCAGTTTTTTGTATCATTTATGTCAGTTATTGTCTCGTGTATTTTTTAATATAAAAAATATAGACACAGGTTTATATAAAAATATACGTGAATAATGACAAAGAAAAATAGTAAAGTCTGAGACAAATACAACTGGTATTCCTGTTCACGGGAATACTGACTTGCACTTTAGGGGTTTTTTTGTTGTTTGTTTGGGTTTTTTGTTTGTTTGGTTTGGTTGGTTGGTTGTTTGTTCTGGGGGGGTTTGTTTGTTTGTTTTTTAATAATATGCATTATTCATTTGCAATCTCTTAACTTACAGAAGCACTTCCACATCTGTATCATTACAGCTGAAGAGGTACAGTGTTAGAAGCTGAAATGAGAGTTGATCCTATATCTGCTTTCCTTTAAAATCCAATAAAATTCCATATAGAAATTTACAGCAATGTTTTACTGAACTGGTTTGAGAGAATTAACTTGGTAAGTTCTGACATCTCTGGGTGACACTGGAGTGCAAGGACAGCCATCCTGCAGATCTCCACCCTGCTTCATTTTACATGCATGTGATTACTGGTACACAAAAAATGCTGACAACAAAATCTGCAAACTGAGCATATATTAATGCTTCAGAAGCAGCAGGAAAAACCCAAAAAGGCCTCCTACAGTCTTCTCTCTGCAGAACTTACTGTCTTATACACAATGTTCTGTGCATAGTTATTAGTTTAAGCAGTCACACTTCTTCAAACCAAAACACATCTAATTTTAGGACTAACTTAGGTTGGATAAGACCTTTAAGATCATTGAATCCAACCACAAATTTAACACTGCCAGCTCTACCACTAAACCTATCCCTGATATTTAAATAAGCAAGCCTCTGCTTTCAGAGCAGTTTTCCTTTAGGCAATAAAGAAACAAATACAAGTGTACTTGGGCAAATAAACATCTCTCTTCAAAGCAAAGCACTGCTCTTTCCTTTAATAGTGTTTTTTCTTCTGCTGTGCTTTGCTGTCATTAGGATTCAGTCATTTAAAAACTTAATACCAACACATTCGTTAGTCCAATGGGGGGAAGTTCTCTGGAAATCCACATGAATAATACTAATTTTTATTTGCATAATACTGTAGATGTAAGTATTTAAAAATTAATTGAGGTACCTATCAAATAAGAACCTCCAAACCTGTGGAAAGTTATTACTCTTTCCTTAAATCACAAGCCACACATTTCTAATACTGAACAGTGCTGGCAAAATGCAGGATATATTTAGTGACCACTGACATAAAACAGTTACCTGCAGTTTATCCTCATGGTTTGTATGAGTATTAGACAGGTGCCTGAACTCCTGGGTCAGACGGAAGCAGTGCTTCACGTGTTCTGGAGATACAAAATCTTCTGCCACTTTAATGCAGCTGTACAAATTATGGACCTAAAAACCCATATGAAATGACTGACACATCAAGACTGAATGAACCATACAAAACCACAAAAACCCCAACAACCCTCCATACATTTAGGTTCTTTCACATTTACTGATCAGAAACAGGAACTGTGACAGAATTGTGTCTAAACAATAAACCCATAACAAAATACGTGACATCTAACAGGTTACCTGTTCTCCCACGTACATTAGTGTTCCCTAAAGCAAGTTCTCTTACCTTTCTCCAGGCTTTTACTGAATTTTGTTTCCCTGGCTGAAGTTTCACTACACAGAAATGTTTTCCCACCATTCACCCCAGCTCCCCCCCCTCCTTAATTTCATCACAGTAACGTACACACCATTCAGATATTCATATAATTTTTACTAATACAATTATCAAGATCCAATCCAAACAGTTCCTTTAAGAACTGCATATTCAGAAAAAGGAACGTCAGTGAGCAATATTAATTAACAGTTATTTTGAAGTTCTGTTGTGCCTCTAATTCAGTCCTATTTGTCAATATGGCCCAGAGGTGCCACCCTTACCTGGTGGGGAGCACCTGCAGGAATGAACACAGCATCACCAAGGAACTGCACTATGGCCCAGCCTTGCACTCCATACTCATCATACAGTCGCTTCCGTAAGGTCTGGTCCAAGTACCAGCTTTGGTCATGAATGGGGTCATGATCTGGAGGATTTTCTTGGCCTTGTTCTTCTCCAACCTAGGGCCAAGATATGGGGTGGGGGGAAACCATGACACAGCACCTTGATATTGCTGGCTCACAAAATGGTCTGTACCAAAAAACATAACAAACAAACTATTTCAAGGTAGAACATTATTTTCATTAAGGTCATTTAGGTCTGAAAGAGTGACATGTGTATCAGTATGAAGATTCCAGACCAGGCTGAAAACCTGGGAACATAGCAACTATTAATGCCCTCAAAGACAGCATTGGAATACCAAATTGTTGACAGCAATTTGTATGAGCTATAAGCAAGCTTGTTAAATTATCCTGCAGGCTCAAAAGCCTTCTTTGTAACCAACATACCTTCCGGAGAAGTTCCCGTATCTTTTCAGCATCCTTGGCAGCGTAGATGTGCCACAATGCTCCAGGTTTCTCTCTTCCTTCATGGATTCGCTGCTTTGTCACATCGTCAGCGTCTCCCTCGTCGATTGTTTTCAGAACCTCTGGAAAGAGAATCCAGGTAAAAGCAGTGTGGTTACAAAGCTGCTCATTTCTGACACACAGAACACGAAGGAGTGTTTTGAGCTACTAAATCCAGTCACACTGCAACTGCTGCATCACACAGTGCCCCTTCTGAGCACATCAAGCTTCATCTGAACAAAACTCAGGGAATGTGTCAATTGACAACGAATCACAAAGCTCATTAATTCAAACTGAGCTACAACTATTCAAATACAAGGAGAAGAAAGAGTAACTTATTACCCTTTCTCCCGCTTTTTTCAGGAATGCACCTAATTTCTAGCAAAACTCTGCTGCTTCCACGGTTGGAAACTAATGAAGCATTACTGCCCTTTTAAATTTGTGCTGCAACTGTAGCAAACTGCCTTGTATACTTGGATTATATATCATGACAAGCTCAAACAATAAAAGAGAGTCTTCTTTCTCACACACACAATTGATTTCCAATGTAGAGAAAACAGCTTTCCTTAAGCATTACCATCATCATGGGTTCCTTCCCCAATGGGAATCCCAACGTACACCATGACGTTAACAGCATCAGACACATCCAAGTGCAGGTTTGTGGTACCAACTCGTCTGTCTTCTGCAGTAATTAAGCCTGTAATAGAGTGTAAAATAAAATCAAATTCTATGATTAACCTCTTAGAGAAATAGCCTTTGGTGTACGGAGTCTTTCACTCAACTTACATGTCTAGTAATACATAAAGCAAACCGCTGAACACCATTAATTACTGAATAAGCTCAATTTGTCTCAGCTGCAACCCCCTTTTTTAAGCTTTTATTTCTGATGTCATACTGCCAAAAAAAAATCCTAAAAAACCCCCCACATCTCTTTCTCAGAACTGCAATATGTTGGTTTACAGCTTAAGTCTAATCCACATTTGGTTACTGAGCTAAAACATTTTTTAAACTATGAAACAATGAAAAATCTTCCATGTCCTTGAGTGAGTTGTTACTGTAGGTGTATCAATATTTGGAATGCACAACCTAAGAAAACACTGCACCCTTGTCTCACCAATATGCAAAGAGAACTACAGAAAGTACATTAGGTAGGTTTGCTTCCACACACTCGCTTTGAGAGATGACTGCAATTTTTTTCTTATCAGCATTGCTCGACATTTTTCAGTATATAAAAAACCCCTACTACTTTAAATGTCATTTATCTTACTCTAAACCTGCAAAAGTATGTATTTTCAAATCAATCAGTTACATTTGTTTTAAATTAAAAGTCTACAAAACCTGCTTTTGACCTCAAAGTCAGTACATTCAGGAACTAAAATAATCCAAGTTGATATGACATGCATTAACTGTTCATGTATCCTCCACACTGCTGTATTACAAGCACTAAAAAGTTTAATGCTTTACAGTCCCATGCAGGGTAGGTGTTCAGATAAAAGTTTCCTCTATTTGTATGCTATTTATCTGCTATATAATTAATCTTAAGATCACAAAACTATCCAATTCACGTAGCTGAACATGGCAACAGTTTTGTTTGGCATGTTGTCTGTAGTCTGTGCTATTAGACATGGATTAAGAAAATTAAAACCCTGATTGGAGACATGAATGCACAGGTTTAAGTGCCCTAAGATGGGTAATTTTCCTCTTAAATGTATCAACTGGTCTTGAAAAGATACTAACTATTCCTTGAACCCTCTGTTGGTATTATGTTTGTTATATATACTAATAACTGTTTGCAAACTTAACTTACCATATGTACATCTCTTGGATGTACAAGGCAGAATGGGGCACATCTGACAGACAGAGCACTAGCATAAGAACAGATTGCAGGACTAAATGAAAAGAAAATGACAGCAGGCTCTAGGATAAGCACTGAGTTTTGACTATTGCCACAGCCTTGTATTTGCCTAAGTATAATGAAGCATCACAAAAAACAACATATGCAGAAGTATACTCACATACCATAGGCATTGTACATTTTGGGACCCAAGTCAGGACGGACGAAGTAGCTTGGCAGCCTAGAAGCCAAATTCAGTCTGCCATCTCTCTTGGTATATTCAGGAAGAGGAAGATTTTCCATCAAGTCCTCAAACCTGGAGAGCAAAGAGAGACAAAGGTAGGTTTTCCCCTGCAGCACCTACAGCAGAGTCCTGTCACTGATCCTAAGGGCAACTTACCTCGTAGGCATCATATCTCTGAAGTCCTCCCCTGGAGGCCAATCCTTTAACTTTAGTACCATTGGCTGACCATCCTCTGACCTGAGCCGTTCTGCAAGAAACAAATCAAGATTTCTTCATGTAATATCTTTTTACTGCAACCCATTACTTTGTTTAAGCTGTCAGCCTTCTTATACCCCTTACAATGCACAGCAAAATGGATCCTGGTTTTATTTTGGGCTTCCAAGCATTATCATAGTATGACCAAACAACATTTTAACAATTATATATATATATATATGTATCATTACCTACAGCATAAGTTTGACAGATCTTGCACAGCTGTTAAGTTCTAGAATACTTTTTATTCAACTTCAAAAACAAGCCTTTCCAAACCGTTCTTCCTTATTTCTTTTACCAAAGTCTAAGGGAGTTTTATCTTTAATTTCAAGAGGAGTAGTACTTCTATAAAATTAAAGTTATTGATTCATGCTTTGAAATCATCCCTAACCTCAGTGTAAAGAAACAATGGTACACCACACTCAAGAAAGCTCAAGGGCAGGTGGTCACAGAGGAAGGCACACTTTAGTTTTTTTAATTCTTCTTTGCTGGAGGCACTCAAATTAGCAGGGTGCCAAACCCAAACATTTGTTCTTCGCTTTGAGAGTTTTACTCTGACTGGTAAAAGAGAAAGCTGGCAGCACAGAAAGATGGCATTACATGTGCAACAGTGATGTGTGCTGGGACAGCACTGATCAACTGCTGCTTTGCCTCAGATCTTGCAAGGGCTAAGAGAGTCTGTCTGGAAGTGGTAAAGGAGCAGCTAGAATCAGTGTAACACTTAGAGAGAAACAAAGGTCACTCTTCTATCAGATTTTTCACAACTCCATATGAAGCCATCAGTTGGAAAAGAGGGTGTGCAGCAGTGTAACACCTTCACATCCCCCTTTCCTCAGAAAGTAACATCCTTCAGCACTTCCTACCTTTCCAAGGATCGAAAGCCAAACAAAAAGCAACTAATCTTACCCAGATCTAGCAGAGCTGCTGACAGCAAAGAAAGCATATCTAAGAAATTAGGACTTGGAGACCTGTGAATCACATCTGTGTTACATATCAACAGGCTACAGAAGACAGCCTTAGTTTACAATAGAAAAAAATAATTTTATTGAAATTAAAAGGAATTAAGAATTGCAGATATGTAAACCAATGTGACTGATTTAAAGATAAATTTTGATGAGCTACAGATTTTAGAGAGGCAAGCGAACTGAAAAGCTCAAGGACTTGAATTTCATGTTTTACAACTGCCCATATTCAAGATTTTGAACTCATCAAGGATATTTGTTCTAAAACAGAAGCAGCTTGTAGGATGGCTATTCAGAAAGGACATACCTGGATGAAAACATATAGATATGACAAATTACACTTAACTGGACAAAGCCCAGAAAAAATCTGATCAGCAAAGAAAAGCAGGTCTAAGAAGGATCAAAACAAAACAGTTAGACCTTCCAAAAGTCCACTTTGAACTCAAAAGTATTAAAAGAAGCAGCACAAGATTAAAATTAATTAGAATCAAGTGTCATACAGAATAATCTCAATAACACCTCCAAAGTCAGTGGCCGTTCTACATCTCTTCAGTAACTTAAAGCAAGGGTGGGGTGGCCACATATTTTGGAAATCTAAAATTCATGCAATGCAGAGAAGTCAGAGTCATTATATAATTTGCAAACCATTTTCATATGAGTTACTGTGTGAAATCTCTGGACTAGCAGCAAATAATACTCCTCTAAAATAGGGATTGCACACAGCTGAAAAACACTAAATAAAATGCATTTAAAGGAAACTAGCAAGAGTGATAAGGTTTTCCAACCTAGATCACTAATATTTCTCATATAAAGTGTAGTAAAGGTCTAAAAGAAAGGCAGAAGCTGATTTTGCTGAAAGGAGCATACCTGTCTAGAGACAAACTACAAATAACATTTCTCAAAGATAACTTAATCCATACAGATTTACTATTTTCATGAGTGACCCCAGCACAAAAGTGAAGAGTTTGTGAAGTTTCTCAATTACCACCAATACACAAAGGACCACACCATTATATCCTTCTAGACCATTTATTTCTGATTAATAACAGAAATGGTATGAAATATAACGGTGCAAAATACAATACTCTGTACTTGGAACCATACAAAAAACGAGTCAAAAGCTGGAAGTTCTTTGAATGGAAAATGACTAGGGAAGGGAATATTTTTAGTCTGCAAATCTCTCATTTCACTGACTGTTGAACAAACATTCCATTAAGTCATCCAACAGTTCACCATTTCTGCTATCTGCACATAGCAACAAATACAGAAAACATTTTATACACAACACTAAAATAAGCAACATTGCAATGAACTGTTACAACTTCAACATCTGTAAGATCACTCTGATCTAGGTACACACAGCCTAAAATGGAGCATTCTCCTTTTCAGAAGCACTTTAACCTGCCCAGTTATATCCCCAGAAATTTTAAGTGGTTAGTTTCCCCATCCAGACTTGACAATGGTTTTCTTAAAGAAAGAATTAAGTAATGTGTTATCACGTGAGACATTCATTCATCATTGCTATTCATAATAAATAGAAACTTGTATTTGTACTCACAGATGATCTACCATGAAAATAATTGGCAATGTCAAGTTTACTTAGCTGATGTATTCCACCAAGTCCAAGTTTTAGTACCAAAAGCCTCAGTCTGTTTTAGCTCTGCAGATTCCCTTTGGTTTTACAATACAAGTTGAGGTTGGAAGAAGAGTAGGGGTAGACAAATTACTTACTGTCTTAATAACAGTATCTGATGAATAATTTCACTGAGAAAAGTTTTTTAAAAAGTAGTTTCCCATGAAATGGATCATTTTTTGACACATGAAAGTAACACATGGCAACAAAACCACAGTACAGACAGTTCTCTTAGGCAGTACTGCCCTAATCTTCACCAAAAATATTTTCTAGAGTGTGCTACATCTAAGGAACAATGGCTTCTTTGGACGAAACTGATAGGTACTTGGATTTTTTTTAGTTATTACTTTTTATTTTTAAAGAAAATGAGTGGAAAAGGAGGAGTTGAAATGGCAAGACAGACTGCTCAGTTAAACTAGTCAGCCATAAATATTACTTACTAGATATTATCTCAAAGCCATCCCAGAAGTCACGCACTTTCACGTCTGAAATTATGGCACAGTTCCTGCAGTTCACCAAATCTACATCTTGATCTCCAAATTCCAGGCTGAAAGCTTCTGGTTTCCAAAGCTCTGACTTCAACTTCTTATGGACACCAGATACCAGCACGGGCTGAGAATACAAAGATGAATGCTTACTCCACCATAACCAAATTTCTTACACATGCAGCCAAACTTTCGTAAGAGCCGAGACTCCTGGCTACCACCACTCAAAAGACACCACAAACCTACTTTCATCCATGTCTGGGTTTTGTGCATCGAGAAAATAACCAGAGTCAAAGCAAGCTTTAGTTCCAAGCCATGTGCAGTTGCACCACTTAGAAGTGGTTTTGGATTAGACTGGCCAAGGCAAGTGCATCAGGTCTCCATGGCAAGGTGTTGGCAGCAGGTGTGGGCTCTGTGATGGGGCTGGGATCTGCCCCATGGACACAGATGGTTCCCCCTGGCTCCACAGACCCATCACTGGCCAAAGCTGAGCCCACAGCTGGTGGCACCTCTGTGACAATAAGAAAGGGTAAAAAGTCCTCCACAGCTGCTGGGGGGGGTGAGATGGACACACACACACACACACATACACGGACAGCAGGCAGGGGGAGGGAGAGAAACAACTCTGCAAACACCAAGGTCAGAGACAGAGGAGGTGCTTGCAGCCCATCCAAGAGCACGGTGAGGCAGCTGTGCCCCTGCAGCCTGGGGAGGACCACAGTGGAGCAGAGAGCCACCTGCAGCCCATGGAGGACCCTGCACTGCAGCAGAGGGGAGATTCCCTGGAGGAAGCTGCATTCGCAGAGAGCCCACGCTGGAGCAGGCTCTGGCAGGAGCTGTGGGGAGAACCCCAGGCATAAGCAAGTTTTCTGGCAAAAACTGTGCCCACTGGGGACCCACACTGGAGCAGTCCATTCCTGAAGGATGGCAGCCCATGGAGAGGACCATGCTGGAGCAGTTCAAGAAGGATCATATCCTGTGAGAGGAACTCCACAATGAAGCAGGGGAAGTGTGAAGAGGAAAGAGCAGCAGAGACGAAGTGTTATGAACTGACCACAACCCCCATTATTCCCCAATCCCCCTGTGGGGGCCATGGAAGTGAGGAGGTAAAAGAGTCAGGGATGAGAGAGTAAAGTTGAGCCTTCAAGAACAAGGTGAAGTGGGGGAAGTGTTTATTACTTTATCTTTGTTCCATCCTACTCTATTTTTAATTGGCCATAAATTAAATTACTTTATCACAAGTTGAATCTGTTTTGCCTGTGACAGCAATCACTAAGGGATCTCCTTGTCTGTCTTGACCCACAAACTTTTTCACCTTATTTTCTCCCCCTATTCTGTTGAGAAGGGAGAGTGAGAAAGCAGCTGGGTAGAGGGGTGTGGCAGCCAGACAAGGTCAATCCACCTGTGGAGGTACAGTGTATGTAGAATCCCTTTTTTTTTTAAGCACAAATGCAACTACCACTGGAAATAGCATTTGTAGTAAAGCCTTCTCACGTGAAATTTTCATGTTCTGATATGAATTGTTTAACTACTTCAGTCATTATTTATGTATAAACATGGATTATCATTAATTCCTTAGGACAAAACCAAGTAGCAGAAAAGAGGCTGTTCACTTGCAAAAGGGTTTTTAAGATGTTTAGGCTAACCACATATATATATATTCTACACAGAGATTCCAGTGGCCTCTCCCAATAAACACTCAAGGCACTTGCTACACTGACACTACTTGGAAAAGGTATACCAGACAATCCTCCCAACACTGTCCAAGACCTTCTCAGTTCCTCCCATCTCTAAAGAGAGTTACTGGACTTGAGAGAAAAGGAAAAGAGGGTATGAAGTGAACTTGTACACTGACTATTCCCACCTGAAGTGTTCTAGCTTTAGTAACTGCTACCTATGTTCAAATGACAGTTTCCATGCCTATGCAAGTTTGAATTAATTCCAAGCTGTGCCCCATACATTAACAATGATATGAAGGTGGATCTTAGGTTTATTCACATGAAGAGCTCAGCACAACCCTGAGAAGCACAGATGCCCCTGGATGTAGTATCAGTGCATTAGGCAAATATACCTACAGATCCAGATCCAGCTACTTTCTAAATGGTTGCTCCCCAGCATGTACTGCTGCAGTACATGTTATTCCTCCTGAAGTGCAGGACTTTACACTTTCCCTTGCTGAACATCACCAGATTCTTCTCAGTCCCATTCTCCAGCCTGTTCAGGAACCTCTGAATAGCAGCATAACCATCAGTCATTCCTCTTAATTTTGTATTGTCTGTAAACTTGCTGAGGGTATATGAACTCCATCTTATCCAGGTCATTAATGAGGATGTTAAATACTACTCACCTCAAAACTGACCCCCCCATGGTACCCTACTAGTGACTGCAATCACAACCCTCTTGAGCACAGCATTTCAGTTTTAAATCCATCACACTGCCCACTTACCTAGTCCATACTTCTGTTTGTCTGAAGACATTATGACAGTGTAAAAAAGCCTTATTGAAGTTAAGATTAAAAACATCCAGTGCTCTTTCTTCATCCACCAAGCCAGTCACCTCATCACAGAAGGCTACAAGGCAGGTTAAACATGATTCCACCAGCATTCCTGAGCTCCTCTTCTCTTCTCCTGAAGCCCAGGTTTGTGATCATGCTTTTTTGCTTTGCTCCCTCCTCTCAGAATCTTGACCCCAATGCCATCATCTGACAGTGACTGCAGCCAAAGCTGCCCCTTACCTCCACATCAACAACCAGTTCTTCCCTGGGTGGAAGCACGAGGTCCAGCACAGTGCCCTTCCCTAGCTGGCTCCTTGGTCAGCTGAACACCCCTCTGCCCCTCACTGGCAGGATTAAAAAAACCACCAGAACTCCCTGGCCCTGACCACTCCTCCCAGAGCCACAGAATCACTCCTGATACTGTCTTGATATTATGGAAGAGCAGCAGAGTGCAACTGTCTGAGGCCCTGACAAGCAGCAAACCTCCCTAAAATGACAGAGCAAAAACACTGATCTCAAGTTTAAATATACTCCCTGATCCCAGCAGAAATTGTAACATTAAGGCAATGAAAAGGTTTTAAGCATATTCTACAAAAAAAACCTAGGGATCATGTACGAGGAGTAAAATAAAAGCACCTTTCATAGGGTAGGTGGAAAGCATTGCCAGGTAGTCTTTAAGCTGATAGATAACCCTGTTGTCTTCAGCACAGGAGAATAATGACAGATTTTGATCCCTGCAGTATTCATTTGACCACTTGTAAATAGTAATTTAAAAAATAACAACCAAACTACTAAACTTAGTAGAACCCTTCCAGCTATTAAGCAGCGAATTTCTCATGGAAGAAAGAAAATATTCTCTCTAGTGAAGAACACAGCTAGGGTTGCAAGGTAAAAGGATAGCAGGCTTGCCTGGCAGACATTTCCTGCCAAATCCACTCTCAGACTACAGGGAGCGAACAAACAAACAAAAAGAAAGCTCCAGTACCATCCTAAATTTTCAGTGTCTCGGAAAAGAGAAAGCCTAGCATGAAAATTCAGAAAAGAACAGGTTGCTATGGGATGAGAATCCTGACAGTTTCCCCAGCTAAGCAACAACCATTTTCAGGAGAGTAAAATGCTCTTGAAGAACAGGTTCAGAAAAAATTAGTCTTATGGTCTCTCAGTGAATTCTGGGATAAGACATGCTTATTTCTGACAATTTCTGAAACAAAGGAGTCAAAAAGTGTTGCTCTTTCTGCACAACAGTGAAGAAGTACCACATTATCCAAATATTAAGGGAAAAGAATTTCCTCTTTTAATAATTTGAGATGCCATCATGGCCAAGATCTTCATATGGCTCAGATCTAGTGTCCAGTGTGCATTTATTGTGCTGGGGAGGGTATCTAAGAAGTTGTTTTTTTCAAAATAACCTTTTCCAGCCCACAAAATAGGAAGAAGAAAATGATTTGGGAATGGTGGTGGAATTAATGTTCTTTCACTTCACTTTTAAAGGTGCAGCTGGGATGTACAGCAGTATGTAAGCCAAAGGAGAACTGTGACTGAGCAGAGTTTCTTGAGAGAGTCTCTGCTTGAAGAAATTCTGTTTAAAATAGCCTTGTTAAGACAGTGATGCCTGCTTGGGTCATGTCTCTCTCTTGTGCAGGAACGAGGGACGTTTACTTAGGTTACTTTCCACATTTCAACAGGAAACTCAAGTGAGTGCAACACCACTGGAGGATCCCTGAATGAGCAAGGGACTCCTGTCTATTCTTATTCAAGGGGTTCTCTGAATGGTAAAGTCATCCAAAAGAATCAACAGCACACCTTGGGACAAAGCCTAAAATAGTGGGACAGAAAGAGTCCATGAGCATGGCACTTGTAGCCAGAGCCTCAGAGTGTGCACCACGTTGGAAGATGATGCACCCTGCAAGCTACACATCAGACAGAAGATCAGTCATGACATCTCGAGACTCCATAAGGAGTCTCTCAGGATTCCTTAACAGTCAATAACCCCAGGGCCACAAGCAGCATCTTGCACCTGCTGATTAACCAGTCTCATTGGCAGACAAACTGACAAGCACATTTTTTGTAAGCATTCCCAAAACATCCAGGATCCTCCTAAGAGAGACAGCAGTATTTGCTGACAGAAAGTGCTGACAAAATTATCAGAGTATACTAACCAGAAGGTAAGGAGCTCTTTACAAAGTCAGGCAGATGATGGACACCACAGCACTGCAAAACAATGATCTGAAATCCCTCATAAATCAGAATGATGTAAGAGGTTGAAAAAGGAAAAAAAAAAAGGAGGAGACTCCTGTGCACCCCAAAAAAACTGGGACAGGAAGATACCTACACTGTGGGGAAGGCTGGCAATACCAGCAGCAAGCTGAGTTTCTAGTCAGACAAGCAAGAGTGTGCTGCACAGTAGCCCCCTCCACCTATTAGGGGCTGGCCAAGGGAGCCATAAACAGGAATGTGGCTGGTGGCAAAACAATCATCTTGGCACATACTGCACTCAACTGAAAAGTACCCTGGTTCTGTCAGGAATGGACTCTGAGTGTCAAAAGAGGTACTTGCAGTCTGTTCCTCCACCACACCTCAGCCACCTGCATCTCTTGGGAGCAACCACAAATAAACATGGAATGTGAGTGCCAAGAGCATTAGCACTGTAAAAACAGCTGACAGCAAGGACTTCTCCAGAAGATGGTCTCAATTCTGAGTAGTTAGTGAAGGTGATTGTGCCAGAGGCAGCTGCAGAACCAACCACCACGAATACAGTCTGAACACTGATGGACATCATATTCTGTTAAAGCTATGGGTGCACTTCCTTTGCAGCAGCAGTTACTCACCCATTTTTTAAGATTCAGTTTGTCTGACCAGGCTGATCTTACTGACTCTCTGGAGAAGTCTAAACTGCAGTACTACAGCTCAAGATCAGAAAAAGTGACTACTGGCAGCAGGTCTAAGGTCCAGCCTTTTGACTGAAGGCCTAACCAGTTGATGGCACCTCAGACAATCCACAGGAGTGCTCAGTACATGAGCTGCTGAGTTCAAAAAAACACTTGGGTTCCCACTGGCTGTAGGCTCAGGGTGATCCTATCAAGTACACCCAAAACTCAGATTAGATTACTACATGCAGCACTTTCGTTTCTGCACAAGCTGCAGCTGGAAGGAATGGACCTTTCCCTGAGGCTATAAAGCATCAAGTGTGGGGGAGATATGAGGGTGCATGCAGGAATCACAGTGGATTCACTACTGGGCTGTAGTAGAGCAGATCAGGTTCAGCACCAACCACATAACAACCAAAAAGGCTGTCACAGCAAACACCCTCATGCTGGTAAACTGAGAAAAGCTCAATATGCAAGAACTCCTGGGCTTGAGTCAGTACAGCATAGAGTGGACAGGGCTGCTGTGTCCCCTGTCATGATGCTACAGTTGAAATCATCATTCCTCATGTTCACTCAGGAGCAAGTGGCCAAAGTTTGAATGGACCTGGCAATGACCAAGGTACAGACTAAAATCACAGCAAGGGTTGGATACCTGCCATCACCCACCTGGCCTTGTTTCCAGCATTCCCTGAAGATCTTCCAGTTGTTTTTGTTGCTGGGGTCATGAAGGCAAAGGAGTCTACCATCACACAGCCAAGAGTGGGAAGTGTGTGGATCCAGCACATTTAATCCCATTACCATTTCCTTCACTTCTCTCTGGGTGTCAACCAGGTTACTGGCTCGCTTTGCAGCATCAGATGTCTTCTTATTTTCCACCACAGAAGCAATGATATGGTCTAAGAAGTTAGGCAGGCTGGCTTTACCTTTGGCCCCCTAGAAGAAGTAAATTCAGAGGTAAGTTTAGTCTTACAACAGTAATCAGTTGTAAACAGTAACCCTTCGGATTCTGGTCACGGACACCTTGCTACCAGAAAAACATTCATCAGTGAACAAACTGGCTCAGAGAGAGACAGGTATCCAGGAACAGAAACAGTAAAATAATCAACTACAGGCTACCTAGAAAAATATTATACACACAATCATGAAATAGAAAGCTCTAATGATCTAAACTTAGCTACTTTAATAGTAAAAATGGTTCATGTTTTTCTTAACTTCATTAATATCTCAACTCTATTTCCCCATTTTCCTCATTCCACTACTAAGGAAGTGAATTCAACCCTGGGACAGGTGAGCTGATGGATATGTGAACTCTAAGGAAACACAGAGAGGAGAAAGTGCTTCCTGTATGTCAACAGAACCATCAGTAGACAGCCAAGTATATTCTAGCTCAAATGCCTTTCAAGTTTACACAAGTTTGTTTAAGGAACTAGTTTACTCATGTTTTTGTCTTTTTTCTGTGGCATGCTTTTGCAATATTTATAAAGTTTTGAAATTTAAAGTGAGCTTGTACAGGGATGCTGATTATCAATTAAACAATTTAAAGGCTGTATTTAACTCACTTTCTTGGTCTCTTGAAAACAATAGCCTCTCCACGGCAGTAGCAAACTAAAACTAAAAATCGCCATGAAAATTCCCTACAACTTTGTAACGTGGTGAGTTTTGGTGAGATATTACATTTATTTCAACATTCAAGATTATATATATTATTATATATATAATATTATAAAAATATTTAGAGGAAAATTGTTAGATCATCATGAAATTCTTCCCTAGAACAGTTATCACTGAAGGAATATAAAATTATTTACCGTAGAAGCTGCAGAAAAGACTGGAGGAAAGGGGATTCCTGCGTCTGATGGGACCTGAGGAAGCTTTCCTGGCCCTGTGTGTAGCAGATCTCTGAGGCTGGAGCCTTCAGTTTTGTTGCTAGATGTCACTGGGCCCAACAAGAGGCTATTAAACAGCTTTGGGGTTAGAGGGGAAACCTTTGTACTGGAGTTGAAGGAATCCAATCCAAAGGGTGAATGGGATTCTTTACTAAGCACTGATCTCAGTGATCCTGATTCTGCAAGATAAATATAACATTGAGTGGGGGAAGAAGAAAAAACAAGAGGTAAAGTCCAAACAATCATGAAGTTTTCTGAAATTATTTGTTCTGGCATTAAATAGGATATTGACAGAATCTTGTGGTAAAGGTAAATTATCAGTCTAATAGTTAATGAGGCACCTCAGTGAGAATCAAAGACATCAGATCCTTCAGATAGATTTTACCCTTCATATGCTGTTAAACGTTTTGAACAGCCCAACAGATCTGATCTGAAAGCATCTGACACACACAAAACCACAACTCTGTAATAGATTAAATTAAAAAAAATATTTCCCTGACTTTCTGAATTAATGCTTTGATATGAAATATTTCAAATTTTAATGGTAGTCAAATCAACATGTAAAGTAGTTTCTGCCAGACATATGGATAGGAATAAATCCTCTGCTAGTCATGCTACCTCTGACATTCAGGAAGTGTGGTCACTCAACTACCAAGTATTAAAGATGCTCTAAGCTTTCATCTGACCTTCTGACTGGACTCTACTCTCTCAGTTCTCTGGAAATGCACTCTTCACATAGCACACAGAAGAGCTTTATTTGCTTCAACAGTTATAAAGCTATAAGGCTGTATCTGAAATTAATTACTATCATTTTACATCAGCATACCAGCTTCTGAGAAAATAAATACACAAACTGGCAGTGAAATAAACTATGAGTGACAAGACAGTATTATCTTCACCTGTATCATCTTTCCAGCTTTGCATACTCCTAAGCCTCTAAACCAAAACTGGTTCTAAGAGGTAAAGGAAGAAAAATGACCTTGTTCTTTTCTGTTTAGGGCAAGGCACTGTCACAAAGTACAGCAACCAAGCAGTACATTATCATATCTCTTTTAATTCCAACACCAGAGGGCATGTCTTCTGCTTACCTTTTGTTTCCTCTTTTGCTTTTTGCGTTGCTAAATCTGCAAGCCAGTGTAAAGCTGACGATGGAGCTGTTTCCGGGCAAAGTGGTCTGTTAGTCTTTATTTCACCAGTGTTATTAGCTGGTAATGTCTCTGTTTTTGTAGATTCTTCTATCCTACTATCAGCTGATTCAGATTTTGGTACAGTGTCCATTTCTAGCTGCCCCACTCCTGCTGTTCCTGCTCCAGTGGAAAAGGTGCTTTCGTTTCCAGAGGCTGATGCACTGGGATTTACAGTCGGAAGCTAAAACAAAAAAAAATAAACGACTGCTAAATGTTGAATAAAGGGAAGAGTTCAACTTGGGACACATTTTAGTTATCCAATGCATTTGGGTTTGTTGTTTTTCTTTCTCCATTTGCTTTAAGTGCATAGTAAAGCTCATTTATGCTTAGCAGTAGAGTACTGGAGCTTATCTCTGTCTGTTAGACCCTGCATTGTGGTGTGAATTCTTCCCGTGTCATCTTTTAACACAAGCCCAGGCTTCTGGATTTCTTTTCTTTTCTTTCTTCTTTCTTTTTTCTTTATTCTCCAATTATAGGAGGATTTTTTTGTATCAACAGTAACAGAATTGCTCTTGATTCCTTCAGGAACCATAACAAAATAAAAGCAAACGTTGCAAGCTACTAATAGTGGCTTGTTTTAAAATACAGCATCAGTATGAATGGCTTCCTACCCAACTTCTACATAAGAGTATTAGCTCAAATACCCACTTGGTATGTAAAAGATGCAGTTCATATCCCCAAAAAGCGTCCCAAAAGACTTTGGCTAAGCTAAAACACTCAAGAGTACACATGGAAAAAAATAAAACTTCTGTCTCACAACAGATTAGCCTGAAGGATCTAACACCTTAATAGATCTTAAAGATGTAAATGTCAAACCAGGTAATTTCAGCCTCAAGTTACGTACCTGTGATATTCCATTAGTGACAGCTGGTCTCAGCACCGATTTGTTCTGCCGGTTAATGCACGGACAGTTGGCTTTAATGCCCCATTTGCCTCGTGCTGCATGAACCATGTCTCCAATGTTGTAAAGCGCTGTAAATAAAGCAGAGTCTTTAATATCACATGTAAAGAAATCTAAAAGAAAGGCCTGAACTATGATGTATCTTCAGAGGGGTGGGGGGTTTTAGTATTATTGCAAAGTATCTTTAAGATCACGCCCTATCACAAGACACTTGTCTCTGCACAGTGTGGCCAACGGTGCTGACACTGCCTTCACAGTGGCACTGAGAGGCTGTCAAACCTGGCAAATCCTACAGATTATCATCTGCTCCTCCTATTCCCCACATTACTAAGAGCATCATCCAGACACTCCTTGAACTCAGACAGGTTTAGCGCCCTGACCACTTCCCTGGGGAGTCTGTTCCAGTGCCCAACCACCGTCTCAGTGAAGAAGCTTTTCCTACTGTCCAATCTGAACCTCCTCTGATGCAGCTTCATTCCATCTCCTTGTGTCCTATCCCTGGTCCCTGGAGAGAGGAGATCAGCAAGTGGAAGTCTCTTCTAAATCCATGTTAGAAGAGGTACCAGCTAGAACATCATTCATTCATCTTCATATTTTTTCCACTTACTAGCTCAGAACTGAGACAAAATTTGCTATTTTTCTTTTCATGTTTCAATCATTACCTGTACCAGGGATGATCTGTGTTGGCATAAGATTCTCTGGTTCATGAGATTGACCCTTTGCACATTTCAGCCATGAGAAAACTTCCTCATCACCAATCTCCTCTGTCTCTGGAATAAAGAAAAAAAAATTAGATTTTGTACCAAAATTTAAATACAGAATACTTCTGCATTAATATTGTTTCTTTAGATTAACCTGGTGATCTCAGGAATCAGCTATAAATACAGACCATTAGAACAGGATGTACAGCAACTTTTGCCTCTTCAGATCATAAAACTACCACAGTAATTTTCCCTTCATCTCTAGCAGTTTGTTGTTTTCAATCACCTAAAAATCTTGGCTTCTAGCCTTAGTTTTTTTAAATATGATACTCTTGTTCTCATTATGCTTTCTTAAGTTATCCTTATTAACATCCAGTGTTTTATACATCTGTTCCATATAATAATATAAGTGACACTTATACCCCTACTCTTACTGATTGCCAGTTGACAGCACCCACACTACCAAAGTGGTCTCAATACAGTAAAGTACACAAAAAACCCCCAGCCAGGCATCTGCTTTTGTACACATGTCACGCCTCTATTTGTTAAAATTGAACTTACTGAACTTTTTGCTGAATTACAAGCCCTGGTGTGTCAAGGAATCAAAAAAAGAAGAAAACTTTCCAATCTCACTCCTTGTTAGACAGTAGTTCTCTGCAGTGTCTGCTTACTAGTTCACCTCTCGATGGTTCTGAACTGTTAAGATATTACTTATATTTCTCTTTTATACTTTCTGAGGGAAAGATAGAACTATCCAGTTGTCTGTCTCAGTACACAGTCTATGCCTGCTGATGCTGTAATTTTAATAATCACATCCTAAGCAAATAAATAAAACACAGGTACATAAGGAAATGAAGAAAGGACCGGCAGCATAAAAGACAGTAGTTCCCAAGTTCCAAACAAGCTGACAGTCACTAATTCTCCCACAAAACCTTCAGCAACTTCCCAGAAACTATCCCCAGTGAAAACTAGTCAGGTCAAAGATTACAGTGGGTAGAAGAGCCCAGTACTCACCACTGCGTGGACGGCTCTTCCTCAGCCGGTAACAGTCCAGACAGACCCCAAACCCACACTTCCGACACACCCAGTGGATATTGAAGAGTGTTGTCTCACACACATCACACATCTCCCTCACACCACGTACTGCTCGCTTCCATGCCACCTTCTCTATAAAGAGGAGGAACACTGAGAATTAGTGCTTTGACACTTTGCATTTCTCCCACCTAATTTGAGAATATCACAGCAACGCTGATAAAGAAACAATTCACAGAAACGTGAGATGAAGGCAGAGTATAGAAACATGTACTTTTTACATTCAGAGACACGTTCTTTGAGTTGCTAGTTTAGTGACACTATTAAAATTCCCCTTTCTAAGAGTGGGTAAGGTCAGGTCTGAAAATGCACATTACAAGGAAACGCAGCACCTTACAGAGTTCTGTAATGACTGAATTTCAAGGAGCACTTACGGAATTTATAGCAAAATTATAAAACTTGTGCTAGTTTATGAACAAATAACATTACCTTCTAAAACCAATAAGAATGCATATTTAGTTTTACTAATCAGATGCCTGTCAACAATTCAGATCCTGAACACATATGCTGAGGAAGGGGAAGGCCCCTCCAAAACGATGCTCTTGTACATTCCAGAAACTAAAGGGAAAAAGTCAGATAGTCAGTTACCCATGTGATAGGCTAAGCTGGCCATCTTTTCATTTTTTATTAAAACTATTCCCTTTGAAGTGGAAAGCTGGCAACTAGTTGCTCAGCTGAGTCCTTGCAGGTTGAATGCAGGTACTGCTCCTTCCCTAGAAACCCCTGAGCTTTTACGTGATGTCTCTGGAGTATAAAAGGATAGGAATATATGAGAAAAGTTGATCATTAAAGTACAGCTGGTCAGTGTGTAAGTATTCTCGATTTATTTCTAATTTCTTAGGAGCATGAGTCAGCTGATTTCTGAATTTATTTCACATCTAGGAAAGTTATCATTAGCTTCCTTGATAGTAATGTTGCACTGATCTGATCCAAAAGAAAAGTCCCGAATGCTGGTCCCACAACTACACACCCCCCAAAGAAGTGAACATAGCCTTCTCTTTGGAAGAGCAGGAGAAGCATTTTAACAAGAAATTACATGACATTTTCAACTCTATTCCACTGCATTGTACACACATTACACAGAGAGGATGGACAGAAAACATGTCAAAAGTCCAGCTTACGATGTGGCTCCACCATCATCATCGCCTCCTTCTCTGACATAACAAGTTGGCAGAACTGGTCCCCAACATTGGCCAGGATATATTTGGAAGTTTCCAGATCTATCCCTTCCGCAGGGGAGGAGGAAGGAATCCATAGGCTCATGGCATCTGGGTCACTTTGCTGTGGGTTCAAGAAACCCTCTACTCGCAGGATCCCTTTCCGGGTAAATACCAGCCTGCAGGAAACAGGATGGAGTAACTGAGAAACCGATCAACCACCTTTAATAAACTTATAATGTTAATAAACTTATAATGCCATCTATGTCAGAACATAAACCCAGAAAAGGGGGAAAAAAGGCTTCAGCTAGAGTGCTGTATTCTACAGACAGTACATTTATTTTGCAAATCCCAGTAACAAGAGAATAAAGTATACAAAGCTATGGCTGCAAGACCCACTGGAATGAATCCGCAGATCCCAGTAAGTACTGGGGGGAAATCCCACATACAAGAAATTTCTACAGCTTGCTAAGTCTCACATCTCTATACTATTAATACAAAGAGATGACAACATTCAATTTGTTTGGGTTGTTGCATGATGCTGCTTGCAAAATTCTGAATGGTTCTCATTCTCAGTTTTAACTCATGAGAAAGCTTTTCTCAACTTTTCAATCCTGGTTAGGGCTGCCAGCACTTGTTCTAATAGCTCACATTACAGGATATGCAAAAATCCTCTTTGTACTGCTTTCCACAGAGATGAATCACAAGTGTTTTTACCAATAGCTTTGACCCCCCCTTGTCTTTGTGTGGTTAAAGGTGCAGCAACATATTACAGAACCCTAAACATCTCCTGCCAATATTAAAGGCAATGCCATTTTTCAGCAGAAACCATCTTGTCTTTAACCTCAAAGCTAGATTAATTTTTAACAAGCTTAGGAAGAGAAGCAGCATGATTACTGGGTGGGTGACACATACTAAAAATTCATTTCATCCTTTATATGCTAGAAAGTCAACAAACATTTTTGGAAGAAGATGCACAGCACTTGCTAGAATAGGTAGTTAAGGAAGATGAAGAGAAGCACGACAGGTCTATAAGAACTGGAAGAGCACGTACAGAGAGAACAGAGATGCAGTGTTCTCCTAAAAATCCATACTGTACTCAACAGAACCTAGTCAAACATTAGCCCCAGGCTAGCAATGTTTACCTACCTATTAAGCAAATTAAAATTTTATCTTTGTTCTGAATGCCTTATGAAGGAGGGAGAGAACAGTTATTATATATAAATTGCTACCCAGCAGTAAAATTCTACCCAATAAAGCAAATTCAATTTCCTGAGCTGGACCTTGAGACTCAGTCACTATCATATAGCTTTGTCTTTGAACAGCAGCTCTTCCCACCCCATTGAGGGAATTCTAGTCAAGGGATGCAGAGAAATGCAAGACACTCAAAACCTTCATCATTGTACCCAAGCATATTAAATAAGTAAAACATAATTACTTTGTGCTTGGACATGGTCCAAGCTCTGCACACAGACTACACATGAAGGAAGGAAGAATTTGGGCACCTCCGGAAGTGGAAGAAGCGACAGGCCACAGTTGAGTCATCCTGCTCTTGCTCCTTAAATTTGCGGTAGCGCTCCAGACGGCACTCCCGACACTTGTGCAGATGTGGAGCTACATTGATGCAAGAGCCATCCTGGAGAAAAGGCTCCCCTGACTGCTTCAGCTTCCTCACCTTACTCATATCTTTCAGCACAGACTGGCCAACTGGGTGAGGCAAAGTAAAAGTAAAAATCTATTAGTTAATTGCAACAGCAAAAGGACGCTGGCTCCAGTAATCATCTTTTCAGAGATCTGTATGTTCATACCCATGTAAAACCAGTAAGTCTGTTTAAATCTGCAGCACACCACACCTCTGTCCTGACAAATACATGCTTAAACATTTCTCAAAGTGAACATCTAATTCACATACAAGAAGCATTACGCTTTAGCCTTGCAAGCATCCCGTGTGCTGCCTACTGAGCATAAACGAGGTTTACAACTGTGGTTAGTTCACGGAGTTCACTCAGGAGATAACCCAGTATCCCACCTCCTCGTGCTTCCAAGACATCACCTGCATTCAAGTCATCACCTTTTAGGGGAGCTGTGCGGGGCCGGCCCTTTGGGGATTGCTTCCCCTTTCCTTTACACAGCAGCAGTTCCGCATTGCGCTCCGCATTGGGGCCCAGCTTTGCCATCAAGTGGTCTGGGATACCCTTCATACAAGCTTTGACCTGCAATTGGTCTTCAGAGTCACTCAAATCTGACAGGTCACTATTTGTACTGGAGTCAGAGTCCTGTTTGGACGTTAAGCTCCGCTCATCTAGCGAGAACCTTTTCACAGCTTCAAAAGGAGCTTTGTTCTCCTGTGGAAAGTCTGCCTGTGAAGAGAAAAAGCTAGATGGATGTCTGCCAAACACATTAGAAAAAGTTTTCAGAAGAGGATTGTCCTGCTGCCCAGGCCCAATGGCTGGTTTTTCTTCTGTTGGGCTGGAGGAAAGCGTGGGCATCTCGATAGGCTGTGTCAGGTTGCTGGTCGGTGAGCTGGAACGGCCGTTCCCTACAGTGGAAGGGCTCTGAACACCAGCAGCTACTGTTGAACCAGGAGCACTGGAGATCATCTTTGAGGAGTCAGTTGTTATAAACAAGCTTTTCTTCTTAGCTAAAGAGTCTGTAGAGGTGAGCGATTCCGGCCAGCCAGAAGTGGCCTTGTGACCCACAGGTGTGGAGGGAGCAGAAACCCCCGTCTGAGATGAAGATGCAAAGCCACTGAAAGGACTAAGTTCTGCTTTCTCAGCAAATGCCAGGAAAGGGTTTGAGGGTTCCTCTCGTGATAGCTTAGGGGGCTGTAAAAACAGGTTCTCATGACTATCTGGGGGACGAGTATTCAACAGACTTCGTGAAAAGGCTGGAGTAAGGGTAGGCATGGATTCCACAGGCAGCTTCCGCTCCACAGAACCACCAGACTGGGCTCCTGGTTTACTGTCCACTGAGAGAATTTTACCTTTACAGATCCCAGAACCCACACTCTCTGTACACTGCTTGAATGAGTCCCGACTAGAGACATCTTCAGTCAAGCTCTCTGAAATGACCGTGAAATAGTTACTGGAAGGAAGATTTTGGGACATGCACTGAAAAAACAAGTTCTTGGATGGATCAGAATCTTTCTGAGCCTCTGGTCCAGTACTACAACCAAAAGGAAATCCAGAAGACTTGCTTTCTGGAGTCATCACTCCATTTGATTGGCTCCTTCCAGCCCCAAATACCAAGGACTGGGAAGCACTTGGGAGAGACACTCCAAATCCAGAAGAAGTCAAAAGTGAATTTCGGGAACTCTGAAACAAAATTAATAAGCATTAGCGTATTAAAGGATTATTGTTAGATTCAAGAATACTTTGATTCATCTATTTGTACAATTAGCATTCTACTTATCTGGAATAGAAACTTCCAGCAGACTTATTTACAATGAAGAAACTAAATATTGAAACTAAATACACAGGGAGAAAACTAACACTTTATGTCTTATCACACTGAGACACAAGACAAGGGGAGCTAATTCACTGAAAAGCAAATTATTAAAGCTGCCACTCATTTAAATTCAAATAAACAAGAGGGGAAGCCTAACTGAAACTGCTTTTGAATAACCTTCCATCTTTCACCCTCCCCCAAGATCATCCTGATAAGCTTCTCCTACTTAAGCAGCACTCTTGAAATAAGTAACTAAGTTTGCAATTTAAACAAAGCAAGCCCTCTAGCAGTTAGAACAAACTATTCCTGGTCCCAGCAAGCCACATCTGCTGACAGGTACATAAAGGCCTTTGACGTGGTGCCTTCAGAGGATTACTCAGCAAAGGTTGAGCACAAAGGGCTTTATTTTTGTGATCACTAAATACTGGAAAGTTTTCTGACTGGTAGATTTCTGCTAGAACCATAACTGTGATATGGAATATTCACTTCCTCTCTTCTCAACTGATACTTGTTCAGATTTTCCAATTCTGACAGTCCTATTGTAACTGATTATATGCTGTGACTAACTCCTCATAGAATCATTTAGATCAGTTCTACTCCTTTTGAGTTTCCACTTAGAAACCTGCTCATATTTTTCACTTTTATTTCAAGGTCATGTTAAAATACAACAACAGACTCTCTGCAACACATCCTACTGGTCAATGAACACCTACCATACTGCACACTCTGGTTTAGCTTGTTCCCCTTTACCAACCTCCAGCTGTAGCAACTTTAATAACATATTAACAGTTCTTCCAGGTATTAGAATTTCAGCTATTTCTTTTTAGAGACAAAAGTAATTTTAAAAAAAACGGTGCTCTAAGAGTTTTAAAAAGAGTATGAACGCAAACCAACCTTGTTAAGCAATCTCAAGGACCAAATCACACTATGATAAAGTGGACAGTCTGAAGCAGTAACACGTGAACTATCTACAACACTCTTGCTGGTTTATGTCACGTTCCCTCCCTCAAGGAAAATACAGTTTAAAATGGCCTAGTAGCCTGCCTGCAAACTCTGAAGCCAGGTTATTAATGTTTTAAAACAAGTAATTTGGGGTTGGAGAGAGGGAAAGAAGGAGAAGTGGTACCAAAATTTCTCAGTACAATTAAAGTTGTTCCTTAATACCACTGATGATAGAATGAATTTTTATCATTTACCTACACAATGTATAGGTGCTCCCAACACTAAATATTTTTCTTTTTTTGGGGGGTGGGGAATAGAAGAGAGAGGAGGTTATGTTATATTGTGCTCATTATGTTACACTCCTGTGTTCAACAATTCTGTTTCTCCTTTACACCTTACCATCTAGGAATCTTTACCCCAAGGTAAACATCTAACCTTTACACCCATTCCATTAGGTAATACAAAAGACAGGCATGGCAATAATCCATTTAACCTCCT